AAATGACATCCTGTCTAAACATCAGTCAGGCTTCAGAAAGCAACATAGCACCATCACTGCCACAATGAAAGTGGTGAATGATGTGGCGAGTATTTTAGATAATAAGCAGAGTTGTACAGCTCTATTTATTGACCTTTCAAAAGCGTTTGACACCGTCGATCATCGCATCTTAAAGCAGAGGCTAGCCAGTATAGGCATGTCCAGCCATGCAGTGGGTTGGTTTGTGAACTACCTCTCTGAAAGGTCCCAATGTGTTCACTTTGATGGGCTGTCTTCTGAGTGGTTGAACATTGCAAATGGTGTTCCCCAAGGTTCTGTTTTAGGTCCACTTTTATTCTCCATCTACATCAACAGTTTAGGTAAAAATGTGGATGAAGCTACTTTACATTTTTATGCGGATGATACCGTGATGTACTGTGCAGGTCCCTCCATTAAGGAGGCTGGTGTTAAATTACAGGCTGTTTTTAACATTATTCAGACTCAGCTCTCTGAACTAAAGCTTCTTTTAAATGTTGAGAAAACCAAGGTAATGCTCTTTTCTAAAGCTAAAAAGACACCAGAGCCTGTTTTAGATATTGTAACTACGCAAGGAATACAACTTGAAGTGGTTACCTGTTACAAATACCTTGGTATCTGGCTTGATGATTGTCTCACTTTTAAACTTCATGTCAATAACCTGCTTAAAAAGCTGAGGGTTAGGCTAGGTTTCTTCTACAGGAACAAGTCCTGTTTCTCGCTTGAGGCCAGGAAAAGGCTAGTCACTGTGACCTTTTGACCTGTGCTGGACTATGGTGATTTGATGTATATGAATGCACCTGCCAATTGCCTGGTCAAGTTAGATGCTGCATATCACAGTGCACTGAGATTTGTGACAAACTGTAAAGCATTAACCCATCACTGTACCCTGTATGCAAGGGCTGGTTTGCTTTCACTAACTGTACGGAGGCTCAGTCACTGGTACATTTTTATATACAAAGCCATGTTAGGGAAACATCCATCTTATATCTGCTCCCTGATCTCACGGAGAATTGTAAGTGGCTACTGCCTGAGATCGAATGCTGTGGTTTTATTAAATGTGCCAACTGCTAGGACTGTCTTAGTGAAGACAGCTTTTAGATGCGCAGCTCCTCTGTCTTGGAATAGTCTGCAATTGAAATGGAAACTGAACAATCTGGTGCCACTAAATGTTTTTAAAGCTCGGTTGGATGCTACTCAATCGGAAGCTATAGGTACCTGTTTATGTGGATAATTATGTAAATGATGCTGTATGATGTCCTTTTGTTGTTCTATTTATGTTTTTATGTTTCATGTGGAACTACTTGAGCAGGTCTCCCTTGAAAAAGAGATCAATGATCTCAATGGGATTTATCTATATAAATAAAGGTTTGAAATGAAATGAAAATACCGCCACCTCCGGAGTCGGCTTGACTCGGTTTGCATTTATAAAGAATGCACACATGTGTTTAATCGTTAATGTCAGATATGTACTAAGTAAATACATTTGTTCCTGCTCAAGATTAGATTCAACTTTATTGTTATTGCACATATTACAGGTACTGAGACAACGAAATGCAGTTTAGCTTCTAACCAGGTGCAACAAGCAGTAAAGTGAAAAGTAATGTACACAATCTATAGAATAAAATATAGAATGAATTGAATGATGAATAAACAGTGAGGGGGGTATGATTACACTAGATATACACAGCAGCCTGAGAGCAGTATGAACAGTGTGTATGAATATGCTAAGATATATAAAGTATGAAAACGGTAAGCAGTGCAAGTATAGTATAAAATATATAGATATTAATTTCATGATGATAAATATTGTGGAACAATGATGAAAAATGTGAATGGAAGTGGCGACGTAAAACTGACACAAAACAACAACAAACTTTTGCCGAGCCAATTGGAGAGTTTCATCACCAGCACGGGGTAAAAACCACCAATGAGCGCTCAGCTCGAGATACCAGCGAGTCGTTTCCCATCAAGCATTTCGCTTCCGCAGCCCGTGGAGAGGAAGGCCCAATCCCAAACCACTCCCTCGACCCTACCCCTCCGTGATGGAGTGAACTCCGTCTGTAGCCACCCTCGCAGCTCAACGAGGCTCCCTCCTGTCAGATGGAGGGAGTAAACACAGCAGCAAGCTTTGGGACGGCCTCCCCTCTCTCCGGCAGAAACAGGAAATGCCGTAACTGTATGTAACAACGGTTTCAAATCAGCATCTCTTAGACAAAAAGTTTAAATGAATAACTCAAATAAAACTCCAAACATCTTTCATTGTGTTTCAAAGCTCTTTTAGTTTTAAACCTGATGTTTATAAGCTTCTTAGTTTTTGCAACGGTCTGTAAATATACACAACTTTATAATAAAATGCACACATTTACCTTTTTCTAGACTAAACACAGGTATGATCCTAAGTTAAAACATATGAGGTTATCATGAGGTTGTTAACATCGCAGTTTATCAGTGGATGTTTGCTGGAACTAACAGCGTGTTTCCTGACGGACACACACAGCGTGACTCCGGTCAGGTAGAGACCGGTCTCAAGTTAGCACCGCTGCAGACTCGCTGTTCGAGGGCTTGATAGCCCACTCCCTCTCCACACCGCTCCACACTCGTTGCTTTGGAACAGCCCTCAATATGGCGGACCCTCCGCGTGAACGCGCAAACGGAGGGGTAGGGTGTAGGGGGCGGTTTGGGAATGGGCCGAACTGCGCCGCCTCGCCGCGCCTCGCTCTCAAGGCTGCGGGCGTCTTTGTCCCGCGAGATTTCAACGTCTCATGTAGAGGAGCCTCCAGAGCAATTCGGACAAAATGACTAACCATCGTGCAACGCACTAGCAAGACGTTGATCGCAACTGCGCAGGTCTCGCTTGTCTCAAACAAGCCTAGGATCTCTTAGGCCCATTCCCAAACTGCCCCCTAGCCTACACCCTATCACCCTACCCCTCCGTTTGCGCGTTCACGCGGAGGGTCCGCCATATTAAGTGCTGTTTCAAACCAACGAGTGTGGAGGGGGAGTGGGCTATCAAGCCCTCAAACAGCGAGTCTGCATCGGTGCTGACTTGAGACCGGTCTCTACCTGACCGGTCTCCACGCTGTGTGTGTCCGTCAGGAAACACGCTGTTAACAAGTAGTTCCAGCAAACATCCACTGATAAATTGCGATGTTAACAACCTCATGATAACCTCATATGTTTTAACTTAGGATCGTACCTGTGTTTAGTCTAGAAAAAGGTAAATGTGTACATTTTATTAAAAAGTTGTGTATATTTACAGACTGTTGCAAAAACTAAGAAGCTTATAAACATCAGGTTTAAAACTAAAAGAGCTTTGAAACACAATGAAAGATGTTTGGAGTTTTATTTGAGTTATTCATTTACATTTTTTGTCTAAGAGAAGCTGATTTGAAATCCTTGTTACATACAGTTACGGCATTTCCTGTTTCTGCCGGAGAGAGGGGAGGCCGTCCCAAAGCTTGCTGCTGTATTTACTCCCTCCGTCTGACAGGAGGGAGCCTCGTTGAGCTGCGAGTGTGGCTACAGACGGAGTTCACTCCATCACGGAGGGGTAGGGTCGAGGGAGTGATTTGGGATTGGGCCTTAGACAAAAAATGTAAATTAATAACTCAAATAAAACTCCAAACATCTTTCATTGTGTTACTTTTTTGTAAAGCTCTTTTAGTTTTAAACCTGATGTTTATAAGCTTCTTAGTTTTTGCAACAGTCTGTAAATATACACAACTTTATAATAAAATGCACACATTTACCTTTTTCTAGACTAAACACAGGTACGATCCTAAGTTAAAAACATATGAGGTTATCATGAGGTTGTTAACATCGCAGTTTATCAGTGGATGTATACTTGTTAACAGCTTGTTTCCTGACAGACACACACAGCGTTGAGACCGGTCAGGTAGAGACTAGAGACCGGTCTCATGTCAGCACCGATGCAGACTCGCTGTTTGAGGGCTTGATGGCCCACTCCCCCTCCACACTCGTTGGTTTGGAACAGCCCTCAATATTGCGGACCCAAACGGAGGGGTAGGGTGTAGGGGGCGGTTTGGGAATCGGCCGAAGTCTGAAGGAAGAGGCAGATTTTTTTCGGCTGCATAGTGCGTAGTTTCACATTCTAGCGCACTCGAGCTGGTTTCTCCAAAATGACATACCCCACCTTTAAGTATATTTTGATGCTGTTACTTTTGTACTTTTAATTGAGTAACATTTTGAATGCAGGACTTTTGCTTGTAACATAGTATTCCTACACCCTGGTACTTCTACTTTTACTCAAGTACAAGATCTGAGTACTTCTCCCAGCTCTGCCCCTCTCTGCATGTCAGCAGGGAAACACAGAGTATGACTAAACAGTAGTTTATTAGACATACCAAGTTACAATGAACAACAATAATGATAGACTTGTCTTGTAAGGCGACTGTTGATTTTCAAAGACTCTACTCTAATAAGATCATTTTACCTTTCGGTGACTTTTTACATATTATTTTTTTCTTCCCAAAAGATTATGTGAAATGATAAATAGATAAACACAGGTTTAGGGTGCTATGTGCAAGCCTCATGTCCGCAGAACAGCTGGATCATCAGCTTCTCCCGTTCCATTTCGGAAGTGGGCGTTGCAGAATTATACAGTTTGAGGCATGATGCTTGAAACCATCGTTTTTTTATTTCATCACCTAATTTATATTTTATTTAATTCATATTGAATACATTAGGTTTTCATTAATACAAAATCACGCACTACTGTTTCACCCGAGCTATTCTTCGAGGCCTATTCCTTGTTCAAACAGACAGTGTGTTGTATGGAGAGAGAGAAAGGAAGGGGAGGGGGAGGTAAACACAGACTGAGAGGGAGGGAGAAGGGGGCAGATGGTGGAAAAGTTAAAACAGTCGAGCTAAGTTTGCCTCCTCGCTCCGCACCGGCTGTAGAAGTGTACCGTCCAGTTTGCACCGGGACTTGTGCACGGACTTTATAGCGTGAACTTTGCAAAATGAGACTTCAGCGCGTGCTTTTGTTTTTAGCTTTATCTGTCTGCCCACTTTTCTCTCTGACTAACTGTGAAGAGCAGCGAGTCCCCGAAGGTGAGTAAAGTCTGCTGCCCAGAACTCACTGACATTTTTAACTAAAAAGGGCGTTTGATAAAGTCAACATATAACAGTGAAGTAAAGTGCACGCGAGGTCGGCATTGACTGGGACTCCCGAGCTCGTGCGGTCTCGGTGGAAGGAAAACTCGCACGTTAACGTTACTCCTGATTATGGACGAGCCATTAAACGACTGAAATATTCGGTTAAGTTACAACACGTAGCAAGACTTGGCAGTAAGTAGCCTAAACCAAATAGTAAGAATGCACAGTTATAGTGTGTATTTCTGTTAGCTACAGAAGAGCCTGTCCGTTAGAAAAACTGGGATTTGTTGATACATGTGTTGCTAGTGGCCCTTAAAGTATGCCGAAAAGTCACTTACAATTCGCAAAAGACATTAAGTACGTTGTGGTTTAACACGTATTTTCAAATCAAAAGGAAGTATTGAGAAGACAATTCAGTTTCACATTATTCCCATTCTTTACATGGGAGAGAAAGTTGCACGTAGGAGCCGCTGAGGAGGAGGTTGTGCCGCTGACGTGGACGGGCTGCTACTAGCAGCGCCGCTATTAATACAACTGTAGCCTGCAGCTAGGCTATATTAGCATAGTGTAGGAGTAGGATGAGATTGTATGAAGACTGTTATGAAACAATACAGAACACACTTTGGATTTTTCTTTGTCTCAAAAAGTTTGAAGATATATGTGTTTTTGCTGCTTAAAACCCTCTGGTTTATATAAGACATTACTGTAGAATGTATTCAGAAAAAGTTGACTTTTAAATAATAGCAGTGCTTTCCAGCACCTTCTCCCTCCGGAATTGAACAGACATTAAATAGGACACAGTAGTCTACAATAAATGGCCTAGTAGGAGAACACAATATCAGACAATAGCAAACATTATGTGCAGACATGCAGCTCCCAGGATTCTGAGAGACCCTTGTGGGTGGACCCATTTTGGCTCCCCAGAAATAAAGTTTTATAGCCTAAATGTGTTACAGATAAATGCATCCATCTGCTGCACTCTGAAGGCATCATTACGTTTTTTTAAAGCTTTTTGTGCATCCGGTTAATTATGTTGTGCTCAATGTAATCTTAAACACATTGGTATTATATTATAGATTTACAAATCTCATCCTCTGCCTCTGCCTCCACACTAACCCTCCTCACTCACAGATACACAGTGCTTATAACAAGTGTGCCTGCTTTTAAAAATGGATTATTTAAACATTTATTAGTGAATTTTCATTCGTTATTTGCTCCACAATATCAAAAAAGTAAATGTTCTTGAATTTATTTTTCAGTGAAGCCTGTGAGAAAAAAATAGGCATTTGTTTCACCTTTCTAATTTTCTTTAAAATGTGATGTCTTCTAGAGAAACTTCTCATCGTGACCATTGCAACCCAAGACACTGAAGGCTTCAAGCGTTTCTTGGTGTCGGCTAAACATTTTAACTACACTGTCAAGGTAGGAACCCCCTGTGGCTGCGTCAAGCTCCTTCCATCCTGTCTAGCCATGTAAACCCTCTCTATTTGTAAACTTTAATGATATCCTTGTTTTTACATTTGAGACTTTTGTCGAAAAAATAAGTCATATTTTTTCTTTTGGAGCAGAAAGTAGGCTAAGGCATTTAGGAATTCATCTTATCAGTAAATGTGTGTATGTTATAAGGTTCTTGGTCGGCGTGAAAAATGGAGGGCAGGTGACTACATGTCGGCTACAGGAGGGGGCCAGAAGGTACGACTGCTGAAAGAGGCTCTGCAGGAAATGAAGAATGAAGACACAATCATCCTTTTTACTGACAGGTACAGTGTCTTTACCACAGGCAAACACTCAGATTCAAATGTGGGCCGGTGCTGTGCGTGGGCCGGAGGGCCAAACAAATAAAAAAATTTAAAAAATAAAACATTTAAATGTAATTTTGTTTTGCCAAAATCCTACCAGCCCACATTTGTAAGTGTTCCGGCCACTCCCTTTTTTTGGCAGGGAAACGGGGTTCAGGGGGAGTGGCTGTACCCGTAGGATAGAAAAGGGGGAAGTGACGTCTGACTCAGAGGCGCGGCTGTGGAGAAGAACGTGTTGCCCACATTCTGTTACTGAGTTTAGGCTAGTTAGCTAGCAGGTTTATTGTGTTGGGTGCAGTCACTTTTGCCTCCACTTGCTGTTCAAATAAATGTTGAAAGAAAAAGTAAATCTGTTTACAGTTCTGTTTCATATGGTGTTGAGAGATGTATCCATAGATTTAGTCCCTAATTTTGCTCTCAAAGTGCACCAGATTGATGCTTTTAACTTCAACATTTAAAAAAAAAAAAGTCTTCCAGGAGGAGTCAGGCAAATTGGGTCAACATTTTATTGCATCAATGATCTGTTAACATTAAAATCACTAAATATATGCTGTAACTATTTTGCTCTAGGCAACTCAAGGGCTCACGTAATGTGATTACTATGATTCAAATAATTATCCAAAATAACATAAAACGCATAGGTTTTTTTGTTAAGAAACATACTTTCGTCGCCGGCCGGCCGATACATTCAGCGCATTAAGTGGGCCTGTCTGTCAATTAATCCCCGGGCCACTTTTTCCCCCCAGTCCGCCCCTGTTTACAACTGACAATGTGTTACTGTTCTGTGGTTATGAATACGTTATAATGCACGTTATATACAATATGATATCAATCAATCAATCAATCAATCAATCAATGTTTATTTATATAGCCCAATATCACAAATGTTACATTTGTCTCAGTGGTCTTCACAGTGTGTACAGAATATCAGTATGACAATACGACACCCTCTGTCCTGAGACCCTCTGTCCTTAGACCCTCTGTCCTTAGACCCTCACATCGTACAAGGAAACACTTCCAGAGAAAACCCACAGTTTAAAGGGAACATGGGAGAAACCTCAGGGAGAGCAACAGAGGAGGGATCCCTCTCCCAGGACGGACAGACGTGCAATAGATGCCGTGTGTAAATCAAAAAGATAATACATTTGCAACAGATATCAATCTGAACATCTCAAACTCAAAGATGTTCAGACAGAGACAAAAAGTATAATAATTACAAAAATGATATAGCGACTGTATCTGTAAGATCTCATTCTTACTTTGTAATTGTTTGCATTCCGTTGCCTCTGAGTAGGCAAACATCTCTAAAATATTTGTTTTCTCTCTGAGATTGATATCTTCAAATACCCACACACACATCATTCTCAGAAAGAAAAGATAAGAGAGTGAGATATTCAGATATCCACAGACATAGCTCAGAGACAAGAGCCTTCATGTAGCTGCAGATTCTTCACAGACTGCTAGTCATCAAGATATAGATCCAGCACATCCACACATTTACATTTTTATATGATTGTTATTCAGTGATATATATACAGTATACATACATATATATATATATATATATATATATATATATATACAGTATACATACATATATATATATATACACATTTATATATACAGTATACATATATATATATATTAGGGCTGTCAAACGATTACAATTTTTAATCGTTTGACAGCCCTAATATATATATATATGTATACAGGGTTGGGAGGATTACTTTAAAATTGTATTCCGTTACACTTACTTATTAACTGTAAACAATGTAATCAGTAACTTAATCTGAGTGTCAAAATATAAAAGTAATGTAATCTGATTACTTTTCCATTACTTTTGGATTATGTCAATATGAAATATAAAAAATATATGTTTTATACTTAAGTGTATTATGTAAAACAACAGAACAATGTGACCTTTGGAAAGAAGAAACCAAGATATTTAGGATCAAAAATGATGTTATCTATAGTAAAAGCTGCGTTTCATGAAGCATATTCCGGCAGCAGCCTTTCCACCAACACTGAGCACATGAGCACATACTACAGTTTAAAAAAGCAGAAATACAATCTGAGCTGACAAATGAAGCAAAGAAAGTGAAAACCATAAAGCAGATTCAGGCAGTAGAAGATTAGATTCACACTTAAAGTATTATCCTACAGAACAGTACAGCTGACAGAGAAGAGACAACATCTGATCCTTTACAACAAACACTATGTGATCTTTTGGGGGTTTTACTAACATTGTCATCCTGCTAGTTATCCCCACTTTTAAGAAATGCAAAAGTCTGATTATGTATTTTTCCGCGTGAGAAGAGGAGCAACAACAAAGTTATCTTTTGTTGTATTCTGATGATGTAAACCTGTTTAATGTAATCGGTAGCTACATGCTCATCTCACTTCTGGATGTTTAAGAAAATCAGCAAATTCCTCAAATTAAACTATCTGTAATGCAGCCTTTAAATTAGTCCTAATCATGATTAGTAATAATCATATAAGTGGGAGTTGCAGTAAAAACTCAATCAACCCAACCACATTTTTTTAAATGAACGTAACCACTGGCATCGTAATTCTCAAAGTGTTTCTATCTTCCCTCCCTGTTTCACACAGCTACGACGTGGTCTTCTCCTCGGGTCCCAAAGAGCTGCTCAAGAAGTTCCAGCAGGCCAAACACAAGGTGGTGTTCTCCTCCGAGAGCCTGATCTGGCCCGACAGACACCTGGAGGACAAACACCCCCACGTCACCGAGGGCAACCGGTTCCTAGGCTCAGGAGGTACGTAGACCGGCCCTGTCAGGCTCTCACATTGGGTGGACATTTTTGTAAATGTCAGTTTTTTTCCTGAATTTGTCCTTTCAGGAGATGCTTACTCACAGCATCAAGATGAGGCAGGGGAATGAAGTCCCTGATAATCATAATAGAGTGATTATTAGAAAATTAGTATTGTGATATTGAGGCTTCATTTTGACCGGGGCTTGCAGAGGTAGGAAGTAACCAGAAATGGACCAATCTGCACAATGACTACTTTTACTTTTGGTACTTAGAATATTTTGATGCCAATACTTATGTACTTTTGCTTAAGTAACCTTTTGAACTTTTACTTGTAACTGAGTATTCCTACACTCTGGTACGTCTACTTTTACTCAAGTACAAGATCTGAGTACTTCTCCCACCTCTTAGGGCTTGAGCTTACCCTTTTTAACAGCAGAGGTATAACAGCACATGCACAGAATACTCTGTAACAAGATCAAAACAGTGGTCGGTTGCAGCTGGTTCAGACAGTCTGAACCAGCTGCTTTGCGGGGGTTCAGTCTTTTAACGTCCTCCTCCTGAATAGAGAGGTTTGTTGCTGTAATGGGGGTGGAGTGGAAGGCAGGTTTATTTTTTGGGGGACAGACTCCTGCTAATGTGAGGTAAGGGGAGCTGGAGGGAGATAGTGAATGGGTTTATAGCTGGTATAGTGTCCCTTGTATGAAAGTGGTGTGTAGGATTTATGTCCATCATTAGCAATATCTTACTGCTTTTGGAGAAACAAGTTTTTTTTAATTAACTTTTGGAAGTTTTCTATCGATTCACCATCTTAGAAGAAATAAACCTTGATTATAACATGATTCCCCCCACTCCTACAATACGAGTCATAATACAGTGGTTACAATTACATTTATTTTGGGTTGCTGTAAGCAAGGGGATGTAGTGCCTAAGAGAAAAGGCTTTTGCTGAAGTCTTAAGGTAACTAAATTAATTAAAATTTGAACCAATAATAAAATATTAACACTGTTCTGGACAACCGATACAGTATTACAAAAAGTACATTTGCAACACTTAAGTGTATCAATACTTGACATTAGGGGACAAATATACTGTATCCTGCTTATAACTATAGGCAAAGTGACAGAGCACCACTGAGTGAACATGATCATATACCCAAATCATCCCGCATCTCTCTGGCCTATTCCTTTACATCTCAAACACAAAGCTACGTATGATTTGTAATATCTTACAAGTGATGAACATGTTGCCCATTACACCCTCCTTTAAAACGTTAATGTTTACCATCCGCTGGTGTGACTGGACAGTTTTGGTTTAGGCAGGATTTGGTCGTTTCTTCTTATAGCAGAGAAGCAGCAGGCAGCTCTGAGCTGAGCCCAGCAACTGAAGCTGGCAGGAGTCATTAGTCGTGTCCATTAGAAACAGTTGACATCACTTTTTCCTTGATGTACCTGAATGTAGACAAAATGGTACATTTGCATGAATATGGAAAAAAAACATGTTGGATAAACAGGTTTCCACTTCCATCGTTTTTTCTCACTTCCTGTCTGTTTCCTCTGGGTATGTTTCTGTCCTCAGGTTTCATTGGCTACCTTCCTAGCATCAGAGAGATGGTTGCTGACTGGAAGGGAGAGGACAGTGACAGTGACCAGCTGTTCTTCACCAACATCTACATCGATCCTGCGAAAAGGGTACTTAACACATTTGATCATGAACAATAGAAGTCTTTAATAGAATGTGCCTCCATTTAAGACAGAACCAGGCTTTTATTTGAGGCATGTATTTATCATTTCCCTTGTATTTGATCTTATTTTGGCATTTCCAAATCACTAAATCCAAATGCGGTTTGTGGCATGAAAGTTTTAAAAACAATGTTGCTAAAACATCAATCAATTTGTCCCAATACAGCGTGTCCGCGGGGTCTTAAAAAGTATTAAAAGTTGATAAATCAATTTAGCAAAGATTAAGGCTATTAAAAAGTATTAAACGGCATTTTCCAAGGTATTACATGTTGTAGCTTGTTTTCAATAAGTATATAAATGGTCCAAAGAGGTTGTATTCTACAGTCTGCCTGAATGTAATCATTGCGTAGGTGTGTAGTGTGATTCTGTGTAGTTTATTTATGGCATCCCGTTGGGTTTGATGTCATCTGAACAGGACATCGCACGCTCACTGCTTGATAGCGCGCAAAGGGCCGTTTACGCCGGTTGTTAAACAACATCGTTATGGGGAAATGCAAGTTTGCATCTCTTGGGAACAATGCCTAAATCAAATACTACTTTCTAATGGTTTCTTTTTCTAATACACCTTGCATTGGGTTGGTCACACAATTCATTCTCTTGTGCTTTGTTCTATCACAAGCTGTTTAGTTGTGCTATCTTACACTCAATACTGTATATGGTAAAGTGTGTCGCCAATGTAACCGGTTAAAACTCAAAGTGGTGATGAGGTCTTAAAATGTATGGAAAGGGTCTTAAAAAAGGTCTTAAAATGTATTACATTTAACTTCAGGATTCCTGCATATACCCTGCAATACTTGTGCCCTACACAATCATTCTGATAAAAAATATGTATTAATAGTTCCACTTTGCAATGTTTTCAGCCTTGTGAAGTGGCTGTATTGAGACAAAAAAAAAATGTCTTTCAGTAAGTAGCTCATCAGGCATAGTCACTCATTTCCTGTCAGGCTTTTCATTTGAAGAACTGCAGGTTGAGAGCAAACAGAGAAGAAGTGACTGCAATGATGTAGTGATGGGAACAGTTTCAGTGTTTCTTCAGAATTATGCTGAGTATGACATGACTTCTTATACTGAATTTACCCTGTCAGCTCAATATAAGTCAGCCCCCCCCCTAAATGTTTTTTTACCCAGCCTTGAATTTTTGTGCAGGCTGCACCTTCAGCTTATATTTCATACTTAAGTTTTGGGAATTTATGCTTTTAGATATTATTTGTACATTAAAGCTGTGTTTCCACATTTCAGAAATCCATAAATATCACAGTGGACAACAAATGCAGAATGTTCCAGAACCTCCATGGAGCCCTCGGTGAGTGCCCTGCTTTGTTTCACTGGTCTCTGTTGTTAAATGTTAAAATTGTTAATGGCAGATTCTGTTTTCTAGATTTTCTTTTCATTTTAAGAAATGATATGGTAACAAGGCATACATAACACATGGTTACAGTTAAGACCTTGTGTACAGTAAAGGAAGAGAAAGACGTTTGGGTGAAACTATGCTCATTCAACTAGGAGATATGTTTTAATAACACATAATACCTACTGTATTCACAGCACATTGTTTATTTGTGGCTTGTATCTACTATATTTAACACATTGCTGTCATTAACAAACAATACCAGGGTTTCCCACACATAGACTATACTTGGGCGGGCCACCCAGGTATATTAACGGCCCGCCCAAGTATATTTCGCAACTCATTTAGGTTTTTTTATTAAAAAAAATTAACCTCAGCTCAGGTGAGCTACCACCACCCCCCCAAGTATATTTCAGATCTGTGGGAAAACCCTGCTAAATGCTAACACAATACCTCACATATCTTCTAATAAACCTGGTTTAATATACCGTTCAGGCAGAGCTGCAAGTTTGGGCAGGAGCGGAGCCCTCTGCAGTGTGTGCAGCATTTCTCTTCTCTGAGGCCATGAAGGAATGTGTTAGTTCACTGAGAGACGGATGTGACAGCATGGTCTACGGGCATGGCTCCCAAAACCCCCTCTATAAACTCTTCTGTTAACAGCTGCTCGCTCTGTCTCTTTTTGATGACTCATACATTGGACATACACAGAGAGAGATCTATAATTACAAATGAAGAAAATGATGTGAGAGGTGCGTTTTTAAATATACAGTGGGGCAAAAAAGTATTTAGTCAGCCACCAATTGTGCAAGTTCTCCCACTTAAAAAGATGAGGCCTGTAATTTTCATCCTAGGTATACATCAACTATGAGAGACAAAATGAGAAAAAAAAAATCCAGAAAATCACATTGTCTGATTTTTAAAGAATTTATTTGCAAATTATGGTGGAAATAACAAAAGTTCATCTCAATACTTTGTTATATACCCTTTGTTGGCAATGACAGAGGTCAAACGTTTTCTGTAAGTCTTCACAAGGTTTTCACACACTGTTGCTGGTATTTTGGCCCATTCCTCCATGCAGATCTCCTCTAGAGCAGTGATGTTTTGGGGCTGTCGCTGGGCAACACGGACTTTTAACTCCCTCCAAAGATTTTCTATGGGGTTGAGATCTGGAGACTGGCTAGGCCACTCCAGGACCTTGAAAGGCTTCTTATGAAGCCACTCCTTCGTTGCCCGGGCGGTGTGTTTGGGATCATTGTCATGCTGAAAGACCCAGCCACGTTTCATCTTCAATGCCCTTGCTGATGGAAGGAGGTTGTCACTCAAAATCTCACGATACATGGCCCCATTCATTCTTTCCTTTACACGGATCAGTCGTCCTGGTCCCTTTGCAGAAAAACAGCCCCAAAGCATGATGTTTCCACCCCCATGTTTCACAGTAGGTATGGTGTTCTTTGGATGCAACTCAGCATTCATTCTCCTCCAAACACGTCTAGTTGAGTTTTTACCAAAAAGTTCTATTTTGGTTTCATCTGACCATATGACATTCTCCCAATCCTCTTCTGGATCATCTAAATGCTCTCTAGCAAACTTCAGACAGGCCTGGACATGTACTGGCTTAAGCACTGCAGGATTTGAGTCCCTGGCGGCGTAGTGTGTTACTGATGGTAGCCTTTGTTACTTTGGTCCCAGCTCTCTGCAGGTCATTGACTAGGTCCCCCCGTGTGGTTCTGGGATTTTTGCTCACCGTTCTTGTGAAAGGATAAATTGTTACTTTAAAACCACATCATTAACTTAAATGAATTAATAGGAGTGTTTATCTCCACTTGGAAACAAGCACCAGAGAAAACCTCATCTGAACACCTGCGCTGTCTAAATTACACAGAAAACAAACGGAGCACAGGCAGACCACGCTGCGTAAAAAAACCAGTTGATTGCGCAACAGCACTCTCGCAAATTGCGGCAACAGATCAAGTACATTGTGAAGCTGACAATTGAGCGGCCCGACCAAGCAAGGAGGCAGAGGCAGAACGTCCAAAATACAACCCGGTGTGGGCATTTATTAAGTCAGGAACATATGACACACAGCCTCAATCCTACTGTTTCTCCCTGACCACAGCCTGCAGCCACAAAGATCTCACACACACTCTCTCCCAAACAGCAAAACCCCAGAGCCTAAATGCCCAACCCAACAGGACACAGGTGAGGGGGGAGGAGACACCACAGAGCACCAGGTGCACACAATCAATGGCAACAGACATGGGAAAGGGGAACACATTTCAAAATAAAATACAATAAACACTACATCAATCAATAATATAAACTGTATAAACATGTGCACATATGCAAGGCCCGAAGCCATCAGTGACAAAGTTACCTTCGTCACATTTCCTTACCCCTCTCCCCAGGAAGCACAGTGTCTTAACAGTCTCGGCTTCGAGACAACCAGTCAGCCACCCGGTTTTACTTCCCTGGCCGGTACTTAACCGCAAAGTTGGATGGCTACAAGGCAAGGGACCACCGCGCGATGCGCATGGTTGCATCTCTCTCTGGCCTTGGCCATTTTGCTTTCCTCCATGGGTCTCCACTCCGCCCGGTGTTTCCTGGACTCCTCTATGTGCTGCGGAGTGGCTCTGACCTTCTCCAGCCTCAGCGGCCTCTGCACCGGATCCTCATCGTACCCCTTCCTAACACGCTCATCAACCAGGAGCTTCTCTGTCTCAGCTGTACTGTCTGCTTCAGCGTCTGAAATGGTTACCTTTGGGACGTCTATCCCCACGGCAACAACCTGCTTCCCCTTGTGCAGCAGGGTTTTCTCAGAGGGGGCCGTGAAGTCGACAGGAAGCTTCCCTTTCTTCCTCTTCGGGATCTGATTCTTCCTCTCTCGGCGCTCCTGCTGTTTCTCCTGACTGATTTTCTCAGCCATTTTCACCCGCTCCTCCTCTGCCAGTTTCTTCTTAGAGAGCCGGGACTGCGGCCTCTCTAGCTGAGCGGGATCCGCCCGGGACCGCTGCAGTTGCATCAGAAAGGCTATCTGCTGCTTCATCTGGATGAGCTCCCTCTCGCGCTCCTCCTTCTCCTCCATGCTGCGCTGCAGGTGACGCTGCAGGCTGATGTTCACGTTCTCCAGCTTCTTAGCGGCCGCTCGCTCAAATTCCCTCTCCATCTGGCGGTTATTCTCCTCCAGGATTTTTACCAGCTCCTCCCGCTTATATGTTTATTCCTCCTGTTGTTTTCTACGGTCCTGCTCCCGAAGCTCCATGCGGTACTCTTTAATCTGCTGCATCACTTTTTCCCCTCTTTGGGTCCGGTCCCCATACCGGACGTTGATGCGGTCGAGCTCCTCAGCCAATCTGCCGTCTTGCCTCCGGAGTCTCCGTTCCTCTTCTATCTCAGATACCTGTTGCTGTATCCGTAAAAACTGCTGCTCTCCGGCTGCCTGAGACTGTATGAGTAACATCATCATCTCCGTTAGTTCCTCAAACTTGTGGTTATTCTCCTCCTCACTTGGTCAATCCCACTTCTGACACCAATTGTGAAGCTGACAATTGAGCGGCCCGACCAAGCAAGGAGGCAGAGGCAGAACGTCCAAAATACAACCCGGTGTGGGCATTTATTAAGTCAGGAACACATGACACACAGCCTCAATCCTGCTGTTTCTCCCTGACCACAGCCTGCAGCCACAAAGATCTCACACACACTCTCTCCCAAACAGCAAAACCCCAGAGCCTAAATGCCCAACCCAACAGGACACAGGTGAGGGGGGAGGAGACACCACAGAGCACCAGGTGCACACAATCAATGGCAACAGACATGGGAAAGGGGAACACATTTCAAAATAAAATACAATAAACACTACATCAATCAATAATATAAACTGTATAAACATGTGCACATATGCAAGGCCCGAAGCCATCAGTGACAAAGTTAACTTCGTCACATACATAAACACAATAAACCTACCAACGGCGTCTCCGGAGCCTCACACACACTGTCGCCTGGTTCTCTCTCCGTGGCTTTGAGAACAAGAGACCGGCCATCACAAACTACACCTCTTTTGTAGCCGTGTTGCCGGAAGCGGCATTCATATTTTTTCTACAGCTCGCTTCTGAAAAGTAGCCTACGCTATCCAAAATAAAACAAATACCCTCTCCTGGTATTGAACAATACTATAATAATAATAATAATAATAATAATAATAATAATAATAATAATAATAATAATAATAATAATAATAATACTCTAAATGAAAACACATAATTATTTATTAGTCCGTTTTTCACAGATATTACTTTTTGACTTTTGTCTCGACAACCAGAATGTGTATTTTATGTTAGTATTTCAAAAAATCTCCTAGGGGAGAATCCCCCCAGACCCCCCTGCGGGGGTTGGGTTTTCAGCATGTCAACTCTTTCAACTGTGGGGAAATTGCAGGATTGGCTCCAGGTCGCCCTTTTTATTTACAACAAGACAAATGTGCCTTTTTATTTTATACAGTTCAATTTGGATTGAGACAGGGAAATAATCTAAACCTCACGCGTGGCGTTTCACTGTCAAGGGGAGCTTGTATGTAATTACATTGCAAATACTGATTTGAGCCCCACCACTGTATGGGTTAGCCCTACTATAGATTACCCAACACAAATACTCTGGAGCTGCCACTGCCAGTCTGCATGGTGGGGTCTGTAACCACTGCCAGTCTGCATGGTGGGGTCTGTAACCACTGCCAGTCTGCATGGTGGGGTCTGTAACCACTGCCAGTCTGCATGGTGGGGTCTGTAACCACTGCCAGTCTGCATGGTGGGGTCTGTAACCACTGCCAGTCTGCATGGTGGGGTCTGTAACCACTGCCAGTCTGCATGGTGGGGTCTGTAACCACTGCCAGTCTGCATGGTGGGGTCTGTAACCACTGCCAGTCTGCATAGTGGGGTCTGTAACCACTGCCAGTCTGCATGGTGGGGTCTGTAACCACTGCCAGTCTGCATGGTGGGGTCTGTAACCACTGCCAGTCTGCATGGTGGGGTCTGTAACCACTGCAAGAAGTTTATTTCTGGGAAAGGCGACAACACATCCAACCTGTCTCGTATGGCAACCAAGTACCTTTGTGTTCAGGGAAGCAGCGTGCCAAGCGAGAGAGTGTTCAGTTCAGCAGGTGATATCCTACGCTGTGAAAGGGCCCGTTTGGATCCAGAGAGCAGATATGCTCATCTTCTTGAAGATGAATGCACAAAACTGAACTGTGATGGGATTTGTTTTCTTTCATCAGGCAAATGTTGATTGTAATGATGCTATTTGTTTTATGTGTAATGCCGAGATCTCATGATCCTTTGTGTGTTCTCTGGTCAGTGGAATCTCAGGTTGAATATTGATTATACTGGTGCTATTTTCTTTTTGCATTGACAAGATGTGCTATTCCCGCCTGATGGTTGTTATAAATGATATTGCAGAATCTTTTTTCTTCATAGATAATGTCCAAATCCAAATACAGAAAAAAGTTTTACATATGTATTTTTGAGCCTCACATATTTGTTTTCCGTTTAAATCCTCTGAACCTGCAAACACAAACCGCTTTCTGTGCACGGATCGCTGTGTATTCGTGTGTGGGTTTTTTGAGACTCCCCTGACGCTCACCCGATTCGTACTTGTAATTTGTTCTATCTATAGCCAATCAGATGTCTCCTTCATTCTAAGCCAATCACATGAGCGCGCCCCCACGAGGGTATGATTTATTGCGTTCATGACACTTCATGTACGCATTTTGCGCAGTCCGGTCAGCTCGCTAAACAGAGGGCGGAGCTTCAGGTGATCATGCAGAGCTGCGTGTCTCCATCAGACTCAGCAGCTGATCTGATCTCTCTCTCGCGTCCGGTTACACTTCACTCGCGTTTATGTCCATATCGATCAGATCCAGCTCTCCTGATCGACCTTTATAGAGAGCACCGATCAAACTATTAAGAGTGAATATTGGCCGATAATAATGTTGCCTCTTAGTTAAAGAACTTGCTGACTTTATAGTTTTTCTACGTAATTACTTACTCAAACACACATAGTGTTGTTGACCACTACAGTGTGATCTTTGCCTATGAAATGCAGAATAAAGAACTTTAGTGTATGTGTGTGTGTGTGTCTCTCCAGGTGAGGTGGTGCTGAAGTTTGAGGATGGACGTGTACGTGCCAGGAATGTTCTGTATGACACCCTACCTGTGGTCGTCCATGGGAACGGACCAACCAAGGTACTGACCACAGACTGTTAATATGGACCTGTCCAACACCGGGACCCTCACATGATAAATACAGCAGCCCAGTGAGGTTAACCCCCAGGGGGACTGCTGGAGGGTCAGCAGGTGGTGCAGGTGTCTTCAGGCAGCAGAGTCTGACACATCACACTCTTCCTCATGTGTCAGGATTGCTAAAGAAGTACTAAGATCCTTTACTGAAGTAAAAGTAGAGATACCCCATTACAAGTAAAAGTCCTGAATTCAAAATGCTACCTTAGTAGAAGAACAGAAGTATTATCAGCAATCAGCTAATATACTGTATCAGCTGTACTTAGCTGTACCCATGATGCACTATGACTCTTTTCAAAGTATTATATTGTAATATAATTTTATATTATTGTGTTTGTATCGCTTAGAAATACATTTCAGAGCTTTCAAATGTTGTAAATACATACATACTGGGTATATGAGCAGTACAGTACCACAACACCATGTCAGGTGTTTTTAAAGGGAAAAAGTAGCTATTAACTACAAGTGTTAAAGAAATGTAGTGGAGAAAAATTACACTATTTTCCTACAAAATGTAGTGAAGTAGAAATACAAAATATGATCAATTTGGAAATAATCAAGTAAAGAACCAGTATTAACTAGCAAATGACCAATCTGCCACTTTTGCACTATTACAATACTGTTATTTGACCCATATGTTTGTTGTAGTTGTTTCATTTGCTCTTTTGACTACGTTGTTAGTATACCGTTTTATTATTATAATTGTTACTTTTATTATTATGCTGCTGTGTTTATTGTAACTCTGGAACAACAATTTCCCTCGGGACAAATAAAGTCTTATCTTATCTTACTTAAGTACAATACTTGGGTAAATGTATTGGTTTGAATGGAACCACTGCAGGATTGGTTCATCCAGAGGGAAGAATGGTGATTTCATTCTGCAGTCTGTCAGTAACAAACACTTCAAAGCAGATCAACACCCCATCAAACTGTTGACTTCCTGCAACTGCATATAACAATAGGAATGTGCATCTCAGCCTAAACACGCAGATACGTTCTGTCTATAGCCATTTGATTGGAACTGTCTGGTCTTGAAGTGTCCTGAGATTTCTGAATGAGCAACCAAAACAAAGCTGGATAGCAAATATCAGCTTTGCACACAGAACAAGATAACATCTCTGTTTGATGTGAATGACTGTGCTCTTTGTTCGCATACACCACTGCTAACCAAACACAGTCATTCTTATGCCAAGAATAAAACAAAATGACTTTCTTTTTCTTCTAATACATAATGGATGTTTTATAGAGATGTGATTTCTATTCCAGCTCCAGATCAACTACCTGGGGAACTATATCCCCAACATATGGACGTTTGAGACGGGATGCACAGCGTGTAATGAGGGGCTCCTCCCACTGGAAGGTCTTCAGGTCAGTCCACAGGCTTCTTCATTATATCTTGTATGTTCCAGATGTGCCACATTGAATAAAAGGCTGTTTTGTCTGCGGCCAAATGGAAGTATTAAGCCTTTTCTCTGTTTATATCCAACAGGAGAGTGAGTACCCACTGGTGCTTATCGGCATCTTCATTCAGAAGCCCACCCCTTTTGTTACGGTGTTCTTTGAACGCTTCCTGAAGCTCCAGTACCCCAAGAACAGACTGAAACTCTTCATCCACAACCAGGTAACAGGAGGACATAATACATCTTAACCCTAACTTCCTGCTCAAAACAGTGTCATTGTTACATCTCTGCTGTAGCTAACAATGAAGTCCACATATCCCAGATTTCTTCCCTGTACTTCCTTTTCTATCTGTTTTACTCTCACTCCAGGAAGCTCATCATGAGAGTCAGGTCAGCCTTTTCCTGAAGGATCATGGGAGCCTTTATCAGGATGTCAGAGTGAGCGGGCCTGAGGAGGAGATGGACACTGCTGCCTCCCGCAACCTGGCCATGTGAGTTCCATACATTCAGCTGTATGACACATCTTGAGTATTTCTCTATTATCCGGACTTAGGGAAAGAGACTGCTGTGCTGAGAGGATCCAACTGCACTTATGGCGCGTTTCCACTGCAGCGGGGTAGCCCCGTTTAAGCGTCCCTAAGCGTCCTCGCTCAGGCCTCGGGCTGCCTCGCTGGCCGGCCCAGGCCGTGGCGCATTTCCATTACAGTTTAGGACCTGGGGTAGCGAAGCAGTGTAGGCGGGGCGATCGGCTTTGTTTTTGTTCACATTTCGAGTTGTTCCGTCGAGCTCCCGCTGGATTTGATCATCCCCAATGAGATGTAGGAACGTCGTCACCTCCTCGGTCGACCACGGTGTGCTTTTCTTATTAGAAGTAGCCATTTTTGTAGCTCATCCGTTTACAAAATGCTGTTTATAAAAATGCTGCAAGCTTGCTTCTAAATATATATGCGACGCTAGGGATGAACTCGCGCGCGATCTTGTGACGATTCTCTCTGACCAATCAGCAGTCGAGAGTGTTGACGTCACTAGTTCAGCCCTGGCCCTGGTCTGAGGGAACCACGATTTTATGAGGCCGGAAAAAGAGGGAAAAAGTACCCGCTGGCCGGTACTAGGCTATATGGAAACGCCACCAAAAACCGGCCTGGCCGCTTGAGGACGGTTAAGGACGCTTAAACGGGGCTACCCGCTGCTGTGGAAACGCGCCATTAGACTGAGCAACTCCTTTAGGATTTGCCAGCAGGGTTAGCTGCAAAGCATCTTCTCCTTTCCTATCATCTAGAGCAGTGCTTCCCAACCTGGGGGGCACCAAAGATCGCAGGGAGGGTGCCAGGCCTCAAATGATTTTAGGCCTAATATCATATTTAAACTTTAAAACAAAGAAAAGATTTACATATAATCTTTTTTTTTTTTACATATAATTGTAACGCAATGCATGATTGTCGCTAAAAGCCTTGTCTCTACATTACAATAAAATATAGAAATTAATTTATTAATGAATTTTAATGAAAATTCTACAAATTAATCTGATACTCCTCCGATTTGCGCCGAAGCTGAAGTTACTGTGTCAGCTTCCGTAATAATAACAGTTTGCTGTGCTTGCTAGCGACCGACTTCCAAGATGAATACAAATGTCTGAAAAACGTAAAGGAGATGACAGCTCATCTGCAATCAAAAAGAAAATGAGGACCTACCAAGAGAGCTATCTTAACTTAGGTTTCATGAAGGGAACGGACAAAACCCGCCCAGAGTGTGTGATATGCAGAGAGAAGCTAGCCAACGACAGCATGAAACCCTGCAAAATGAAGAGACACCAACAGACCATGCACCCAGAAACGGTCGGGCGTGATCGGGACTTTTTCATAAAGAAACAACAGCTTGCAAAGGCAAACAAGCCAATGGATATTAGAACAGCGTTTGTTAGGGCTGGCAGCAATGCACAGAAGGCCACCGAGGCCTCTTTGTGCACTTTTAATAGCAAAGGCAAAGAAACCGCGCAACATTGGCGAGCAGCTCATTAAGCCAGCTTGCATTAAAATGGTTGAGAAACTGTGCGGCCCGCAGGTAGTGGAGAAGCTAAAAACTGTACCACTGTCAAACAATACGGTGAAAGACAGAATCGACAAGATGGCAAGTAACTGCAGCTGCAGCTGCTTGGAAAGCTTGGAAAGGGGCCATTTGCCAGACAACTTGATGAAACTACAACTGTAGCAGACGAGGCTGTGCTGATCGTTTATGTGATGGGGAAGATTTGAAGCAGGACATTCTTATGTCAGTCAACCTTACCACTACCACCCGGGGTGAGGACATTTTTACTGCAGTGGATTCTTACCTCTCATCCCTCAATCTTTCCTATGAGAATTTAGTTGCATGTTGCACAGACGGAGCTACCTCAATGATGGGGAAAAACAAGATCTAACAGTCGCTTGAAAGAAAAGGCCCCACACTGCACAATATTTCACTGTGTGATACATCGCCAGGCGCTGGCCAGCAAGAAATTGTCAGAAGACCTCAGCGAAACACTCAACTGTAGTCAAAATAGTCAATTTCATCAAAGGTCGCCCCACCAACAAGCGTCTATTCGCAGACTTGTGCGAGGATGAAGCGCGCCAAACCCTCCTCCTGCACACCGAGGTGCGCTGGCTCTCACGCGGCCGAGTGCTGCCTGGCACGCTTTGTAGAACTGAAAGAAAAATAGAAGAGTTTCTACAAACTCGTAACCGCGCACTGTCAGAGCAAGTGACTGAGTCTTTCTGGATTAAAACAGCATACCTGGCCGACATCTTCAGAGCTACAATGAAACGAACAAGCGTCTGCAAGGCGTGGAGTCCAACATTCTCCAATGTAAAGAGGCGCTCGATGCATTTGTGCGCAAACTGGAGTACAGGGTCGGGAGAAAGGAGAGGGGGGAGCTGCAACAGTTTCCACTACTGCTGAAACAATCCTGAAACGGTGCCTGTGTCTGTACGTCGCGAGTTCATCCGCCATATGAACGCACTGCAAAAGGAGTTCAATCATGAGAGACGTGATGTATGAAATACATGTTTAATACCGGACACGTGGTATAGAAAATTATGATTGACAGATTACAACAATGAATCAACTGATGTTTGGAGATTAGGCCCCGGTTTGTAGGATATCATTCAGGAGGGGAAAACCGCTCCGATGAACCCCCCGGGGTCTAGACACTGGTGGTGGTGATAATGGTTCGGTCTGGTCTGGAGGAAGAAGGATTAGCTTGGCCCTGAATTAGGAGACAGGAGGCGAAGGGGTGGAGGCGGGTTGTGCGTTGACACCTGAAATGACAACTGACAGAGAGGGAAGAGCAGATTTAAAGGGTTTAGCAGGTGCAATGATTGCTAGCTGGGGAGTACCGCCCCTGATTACTTAATGGGAGAAGAGCTTGCAGTGACGTGTAACACCAGGGGGTATGGTCTTCCTTCTTGAACTTGCGCTAAGCTTCATTTCATTCATGAGAGACGTGATGTATGAAATACATGTTTAATACCGGACACGTGGTATAGAAAATTATGATTGACAGATTACAACAATGAATCAACTGATGTTTGGAGATTAGGCCCCGGTTTGTAGGATATCATTCAGGAGGGGAAAACCGCTCCGATGAACCCCCAAAGAGAAGAGAAGTAAGAAGTGCTGAGATGTGAAGCATTTCTTACCTTGCTGGCTGATTGAGGAGATCTGTGGATGAAATGAGATAACACAGGGACATGATGAGATTGTCGGAATAACTGTAGGGTTAATGTGAACGCCAACCATGCTTAGCGCCTGCATGTTGGATTAGACGATGCTGACCCAATGGCCGCAACCTGCACGCGCAGGGTTAAACATGACGCTGACCCACCGGCCGCAACCTGCACGCGCAGGGTTAAACATGACGCTGACCCGCTGGCCGCAACCTGTACACACAGGGTTAAACAAAAGCTGACCCATAGGCCGCAACCTGTACACACAGGGTTAAACAAAATGCTGACCCATAGGCCGCAACCTGTACACACAGGGTTAAACAAATGCTGACCCATAGGCCGCAACCTGCACACGCAGGGTTAAACAAATGCTGACCCATAGGCCGCAACCTGTACACACAGGGTTAAACAAATGCTGACCCATAGGCCGCAACCTGCACACACAGGGTTAAACAAATGCTGACCCATAGGCCGCAACCTGTACACACAGGGTTAAACATAACACTGACCTACTCGCCCTGCACGTGCAGGGTTTAAACATAATGCGGACCCACTGGCCGCAACCTGCGCGGCAGGATTCAATACGAGCGAACCTGAAGGTCACGACGATATGAAGTGTTTAAACATGAACACGGTGACACGTACATGTGCTGACTTGCTAAGACCACCACCAGTTGTATGTATAAATACCGTTTAGTGTTCGGACCTTGGATGGCCAGCACGCACGGATGTCCGGGCGAATGTGGGATATGAAGGCGGAGGAGAACCACCGTCCGAGTTGGCAGGGAGGAGGGAGATATGCCTTGAATGGCTGCACCTGTCTGAACGAAAGCCCTGATATGCTATTAGACGCCACCACCAGTTATATGCATATTTACCATAGGTAAACTGAAGAGATCTTGATTGGCGGCACGAGCCGATGTCCGGTGAAGAGGGAGATGTAGACGATATAATGCCCGAGAGCTGTTAGCTTGAGTACGGTGATGCATGAATATCGTAACCTGGTTTACCACGAGCCAAGTGAGCATGAACCCGAGAATATGAATGAAGTGCCGGATGCACGCAGAAAATACGTACACTTGGTTAAATACTGAGACATGACCCATGATATAGTATATCTTAATTAGCGTTAAGTGTGCCGGGATGAGTCATAGATGCTGATGAGCTGATTGAGTGATTAAGACTGTCTTCTATCATCTGAAGTGAGGATGATGGAGGGACGCTAGTGTTAGTTCCAGCAAGTGTGATAATAAATGTGTAGAAATAGTGGAAATCTGAATGATCTCATGCAGATATCCCCCCCAAAACGGAGGATGTGCAGTGCACGTCCTTAAGTCGGGGAAAACACGGTCGTCGTGAGGCCGGCGGATGCCACGTCCAGGAAACGGGAGATTATGCGTGCCGAAGAATCCGCATGCAAAGTACGGTTGCCCAGTGAGGAAGAGCAACTGTCGTTGAAGACGTTTATGTGGATGCACGCAGTTGGTTAGAGGAACGATAATACCATGAGCTTGATATGATGGCTAGGAACTCCGGTGTGAGACTGGGCCTGTAGTTCCTCATGATTAGGAACGCTGTGCTCCTGGAGGAGTCTCTTCTGTTTCTTCTTCTCTTTTCCCAGTTGAGCGGAGTTGTAGTTTACTAATGTTGTATTTGAACGCTAGATGCGTGAAGGCAACGCATTAGGAGATCTCCCTGAGCAGTGGGTGATTTGAACTGGGGAGAGACGCTATTAATATTATTACCCGAATAGCCGGTGCACGCATAGTTTCTCCTACTTGACTTAAGGCTGAAAGAGTTCCGCTGAACGATGATGGGAACATTAAAGCGCGTCGTAATATCTGCTTTGAAGAGCCAGCCTTGGCCTGCACGCTATTAGATTACATTATCTCCGTGCGTAGAAAGGGGGGAACATTGACCTTGTCATCGAGATTGCCCTGAGCATTTACCGAATTGTATTAAGTAATCTGTCGACAGGCTGTAAACAGAAAAGCTGAAATTGAAACTAATAAATACTCAGTTACCTCTAATCATTAACCGAGTTTGTATAATGTAGTTACTCTGTGTGTTGCTGCTAGCATACATAACATCTGACGTGGGAACGTTACTCGTGAATGGAGCTACGGAGCTGCTAGAAAGACAGTGGAACCCGGTGCATTCCTCCGTCTGGATGTGGAGCACTTTTGCTAAATGTTTAGACAAAGTGCTCGTGTTACGCCCTTACATGATAAACTCTTATTGCACTTTGGCAACGAGCATTCTCCACGTCGAAGCGGGTGAAGTTAACCACGCCTCGGAGCGCGTTCTCTCCGCCACCTCCGCAGTGTGCTCCACTGCATGTAGCAGCTGTGTGTGTAAACTGCCCCGTCCCCTCGCGATGGGGGAGAGAGATCTCATCTTATCGAAAATACATCATAGGCGCATTTGTTTGTCCTTTGCATATTAGAACGAGTTGTGACACTAGACTGCGATATAATGTTTTTTGTTTTGTAGCAATAAACATGACATATATTTATAAATGTCTCCGGTACTGATAAAAAGACCAATAACGTTGGAGCTTACGCACGTAAACACACTGCTGACGTCACAATGAATCGACGACTGAATTAGTTGCAACTAATTTGGTAATCGATTTGATCGATTAGTCGATTAGTTTTTGCACCCTTAGTCGCTGCAACTCTGACTACTTTTACATCCAGGCTGAAGACTTTTCTTTTGTCGCTGCTTTTAATTGAACTATTCATATCTTAGACTGCACTGTACTTTGATCCATGTACTTTTTCTTTTAATGTTTATTTTATTAGCTTCCTTTTAAATGACTGATTTTAAATGCCATTTCTTAATGTCTTTCATTTTTTAAAGCAATTTGAATTGCCTTGTATTGAAAGTGCTATATAAATAAACTTGCCTTGCTGCCCAGGAGATGTTGTTGTCGCAGATCTAGCCGTTGGTGCACCAAGAAACGGAATTTTCTTAGTGGAGAAGAAAAAGAGAAAACCGATCATTTAGTCAATTAAATTAATATTGGGAGTGAATTCCTAATTTATTTAGTATCTGGTCATAAACAGGATAATGTGCAGCGACTTGTTCATTGAGGAAAAGAAGCCCTACGAAACGCCATTCATTTCAGGAAACGCTGTGTTGAAGCTTGAACCTGCGTTTAGTTACTGAGCATTGTAATGAGTAATTACCCGACTGCATTAGTAATGCAAGTAATACGTTACTGAAACTCCATACTGTAGCACGTTACCCCCAACACTGCCTGAAGCTCACCTTAACCCTGACTAGAGGTAGCAATGCATAGTGTTGAACTTCCTGTCGGCTCCCAGACCGTAGTCGAGGAAACGGGGGGGGGGGGGGGGTGACTCTCTGTCCTCTCCCAGGGCAGAAGCAACACTCTTCTGGTTCAATAACTCATTTTATCGGAAATAATGGAGAGAGGCGAGCTCTTCTTGGGAGGTCTTTGCATTATTTAGCTCTCCTGTTTCGCAAGATAGATTTCGCAAGATCACAGACCTTCCTTTTTTCTGCTGCCTCGTTTATTTCTAGAAAACATGTATCCCGCTCGCTCATACCATGCCCATGCACACATGCACACGCCACACCCCTCTCTTAAGGGTAGCGATCTCACTCTGCATGACCCAAATGTCGTAACAATATACAAAACATCTCGTGAATTTGTTGCAACTGCCTTTGCCAACGTTACCCTGACGCCTGTTGAAGTGAGCGCAGGAGGAATAGCTTCAATGGGATAGCTTAAGCCCTGCCTGCCTGCAGGAGGGGTTGTAGTTGAAGCCAGAATGGGTAAAACTCCGCATGTGATGAGGACCCGTTCCGCGTGAAGCCGGAAGCGCCGCATTAGGCGGCCCTGATGCCAGTGATGCCTTCTCAAGAGACTGAAGCGTACGTCAGTTGTTTGCGTGAAGTAGCCATTCCCATTAGGCCGGAGGAACTTCCATGGAGCCCGATTTCCTTGTCTTTTCCTCCCGCGTCCGGGCTTGCGGGACGGCCGGCTGACCCGCTACCCGACTGGGGAACGCCGCCTGTAGCTTAATCCGCGATACTGCGGAGCTGATGAATAAATGCCTGGAGCTGGAACGAAGCCCTCAGCTGGGACAAAGCCCTGCTGCTGCTTGTCTTAACCATGAACACCGTGACGCGTACACTTGTGCGTTGACACCTGAAATGACAACTGACAGAGAGGGAAGAGCAGATTTAAAGGGTTTAGCAGGTGCAATGATTGCTAGCTGGGGAGTACCGCCCCTGATTACTTAATGGGAGAAGAGCTTGCAGTGACGTGTAAAACCAGGGGGTATGGTCTTCCTTCTTGAACTTGCGCTAAGCTTCATATGAAATCACGGTTCGCTGACATAGACGAGTACGTCTCCAAGGAATTGTGGGTTTTAGATCCCTTTATTGCCAAAGTTGAGGATGTGGAATACCTGGATTGCGAAGATGAGCACACCGGCATCCAAGCTGACTCGCTGTCAAAGAAATACTTCCAGGAAAAAGGATTTAAAACGTTTTGGATTGTCAAAGGACCAAGCCTCGCTCCAAAGCTCACACTGCATGCCACGACCAGGATTATACTCCCATTCAGTACGACATATCTATCAGAAACAGCCTTCAGCGCGCTTGTTGCCATTAAAACAAAAGCACGCAACACACTGGACGTTCACAACGACTTTAGACTGGCTGTCACTCACATTACACCGGACATTCAAGCCCAAGGTTCACATTAATGAACCACTTGAACCTCGTCTTCTCTCTGCTACCTGTTCCATGGCAGACAAGCATTTCATTTACCTGCTTAATATGAGAGTTTTTTATTTTTGTTTTATACAGGCCTATGCCACCATATTACCATTTTTTTATTAGGCATAGTCTATTATTTTGAAGTGTCCTGTTCTTCGAAATTTGAAATAAATATGATGCATACAATTTCAAGTTAGTAGCTAATAAAGGCATAAAAAGACAGAAATGTATAATTTTTTCTTTAATAGAAATGTTTCTTCTGCGCGTAAAGTGCCGGTTTCAGTTGGATTATTTGTCACAGTTGCTCCGATCAGATCGGTCTCCTCCATTTTGTAGATTATTTACGACTTTTGAATCCACATAAACACATCGGCAAATCCCGGTTTACTTTGAGCATGTGTTTTAAACAGTTTAATCCCTTTGTGAATTGTTTCCACTTGCGCCGTCCTTTAATTTCTTCATTCAAATTCCAACAGGAGTCATTTGGGGGGGCTCTGGGTGAAAAAGGTTGGGAACCCCTGATCGAGAGCAGGGGTTTTCAAAGTGTGGGAAGGTGAGCCTCTCTGGCGCCCCCCAGGGGAGGCACGCCTCACACTTTGAAAACCTCTGATCTAGAGAATACGAACAGCTCTTATCGTGGCTGACACGGAGGAACTTCTGGGTCATTTCACTCCGTGAGGAACCTTCCAAAGCAATATTGACAAATACAAGCGCACCCATACTTGAATGATTAACACAAATGGTGTGTGTGTTTGATATGTTCTTGGTTTACCATGCAAACCTTGTAGTATTTATATCTAAAAGAAACATTTAAAAACTCTCTGCAGTCATTCACTGACCGCCCCCCTCTGGGCAGAACGTGATCTTTGTATTTTGGATGTGCGCATTGATCTGTTAGTACTGCAGGAACGTGTGGTGTCTGACAGAGTATGTGTTCACGCAACATATGTATCTTCTACCTTCCAGCGATGTGTGCCGGAAAGACGAGGGCTGTGACTATTTCTTCACCTTGGACATTGAAGTGGTCTTAAAGAACGAAAACACACTCAAAATTCTCATTGAACAAAACCTGCAAGTATACTTTATTTATATTCAACTGTAAACAATGATCCTGTGCTCGCTGATGCCTTTGGAGAGTAAATCTCTTTTTTATTTGCACGTTTCTAATATTAGTATTTGATTGGATGTATTCATATAGCAACACTTGAATTGTTCTTTAGTCCCTTTGTGGCCCCGATGATAACTCGCCCTGGCCGACTGTGGAGCAACTTCTGGGGGGCCCTCAGTGCAGAGGGCTACTACGCCAGGTCTGAGGACTACGTGGACATAGTGCAAGGACGCAGAGTGTAAGATGCTTAAATATCTCTTTGATTGTAAAATGAGTTCTTTGATATAGAATAGAACATAGAGCTGACATATCGTTGTAGAAAACTGCAGTGCTTCACCAAATGCAATCAAAGCTAAAAGTAGTGATGCCTAAACATTTTTTTGAATGAATAAATTATATATATATATTTCACATTTGGTTATTTTTAATAGGAATATGTAATTTAACTTGTAATTATAGCTCACGACTTTTCTAAATATATCCAATTGTCTCATTTCACCTTTTTTACAGTTACTGTTTATTCCAGGGGTGTCAAACTCAAGGCCCGGGGGCCAAATCCGGCCCGCGACTTCATTTGATGTGGCCCCACAAGAGCTTGCAAAGAATATAATATGTTTGTTTTACGGTTACATGGCGATTTACAGAAGCCCGTTGCCATGGAGCACAATGCATCTCAAATTTGACTTTTTTCTCAGATTTGACTTTTTTTCTTCTAAATATGCCCTTTTCTCAGAATTGACTTTTCTTTTCAAAGTGTCTTTTAAAATCATTTTGTGACATTCTCACTGAAGAGACTTGCAATTATTTGCCCTAGACCTTTGCTTTCAGACCGAGTTAATTATGAAGTTATTACCCTATCCGACAATAATCCAATGCAGAAGAATGATTATAATATAATACATTATTTTATATATATATTACATATTTATATATGTATTTTAGTCTTAAAGTTACAACCGGCCCTTTGAGTGCAACCATTATGCGAATGTAGCCCGTGATGAAATTGAGTTTGACACCCCTGGTTTAATCCAACACTTCCTGTCAAATGAAAGGAGGTGACAAACACAGGAAGTGTTGGAGTTGCATCAACAACAAGTGAAAACAGGAGCAGATCAGCAAACACACTTAAATAGCATATCATATTCTATAAGCTGTCTCTCATTCAGGCCTGGTTCTCTCTCAGTGAAACACAGTGTGTTCCTGCTGTTAGACCTCCTGTGTCGGTTCGCACTTCGTCTAAGATGTTCTTGTTTCCAGGGGTGTGTGGAATGTCCCGTATGTGTCCAGTGTGTACCTGCTGAAGGCCAGTCTGCTCCGGTCTGAGCTCACTGACTTCGATCTGTTCAACTCAGACATCTTAGACCCCGACATGGCCTTCTGCCACAACATCCGCAAGCAGGTCCGTGAGAGACACTGACAACATTCTTTATACACTAACAACAGTAGTAGTACATTTATGCAAGAACTACATCCTTTCATCATTTCACTTTGTTCAAAATGTTCTGCTTATTCTGTCATCTGTTTGGTCTAAGGTCTCGTTCAAAAACACGATGTCAAATATCTGATCTGATGCTCTTCTTTCTCTCAGGGAGTCTTCATGTTTGTGACCAACATGCAGACTTTTGGTCGCATCGTGTCAATAGAGACCTACCAGACCAGCCATCTCCATAACGACCTGTGGCAGATCTTTGAAAACCCAGTGGTGAGACTGTTCATATTATAAGATGTGATGAGGGGGGTTCTTGGTTGGCCTTCATTAGGTCATTGTGTGGATAAACCAGGGGGGTCCTAACTAAAGCCCGGGGGCCAACTGCGGGGGCCTTAAAGCATATTCAAGTATCAAGCTAAATGTACCTGTCATGTCATGAAGTGTATCGTTACAAATTTGACCCAAAGTGAAACTTGTCATTTCACACTTACTCTCCTCCACAAGCATTTCTAGAAATACAACAAAGATAAAGATGACTTCATTCATTGTCAAGGGGGATTCTGTTGTTAAATAACATTGTGCCAATGCTTTTAACCCAGTATTAAATTAACAGTGCTCCGATTTCACTTCCGCATTGTTCTACAGTCCTGCTTATTAAGCATCGAAATAGAGTTAAGCGTTGATATCGCACTCCATGGTGTTTTCATTTCATTGTGGGAAGCCAAAGTCATTCAGTTTGTGCTCTATGTTTGTCTCCTTCAGGACTGGCAGGAGCGCTACATCCATGAGAACTACACCTACATCATGAGAGACAAGCTGATCGAGACTGTGAGTGCTCCGCCAGCTGCAGGATGCCATGGTTACACATGATCTAGTAAAACACATGTGTCTGCTTCTCATTTATAAAAGGAGTTGCATATAGAAAGACATGGACAGATGTTGTGATGCCATGGTGAACATGTCCTGTGGTAACCAGTGTCCTCTGTCCCTCAGCCCTGTCCCGATGTCTACTGGTTCCCGATTTTCTCCGATGTCGCCTGTGATCACATTGTTGAAGAAATGGAGCATTTTGGGAAGTGGTCAGGAGGAGACAATACGGTACGTTATTGGAGGGTGTCAGATATGGTGATACATTCCCTCCTTTGAGCCTCCTGTAGATAACAGTAAAATATCAAATAACATTAATATCATGTCATTTATTATATTGAAATTACTTCAATTAATAATGAATAATGGAATTAAAAATAATAATAAGTTAAACTATTTCATTATGTATGTATTAATGAAATGGATGATTCATGTTATTAATATAAAGAATATAATATGTAAGCTCTGCATGCTTCTTGTTCAGTTCTTATTTGATATAGAGATGACATATTGAGCAGCCATTCTCTATAATGTGTGTTTGCTGTAGGTCATGTGGTGGCTCTTATTTTATTTCCTTCTCTCTCAGGACGTTAGAATCCAGGGCGGCTATGAGAACGTGCCGACGATAGATATCCACATGAACCAAATCAACTTTGAAAAGGAGTGGCACAAATTCCTGCTGGAGTACATCGCACCGATCACAGAGAAGATGTATCCTGGGTACTACACCAAGGTACGGCTGACACAGCATCATGTCCCCCGTGGAAGGACGATTCAGATCCTTTACTTTAAAGTACTATTACTGCATTCCAAACATCTATACATTCACCCATTGATTTTGGTACTTCATTATAATGTATAGTGTTATCCACATCAGAACTTCATATTTAAAACAATCTTAAAAAGAAAAACTAGAGATGAAAAATAAAGTAAAATCTGAATATTTTCCTTTGAATTGTAGAGGAGTAGAAGTATTTAGTGGTACAGAAAGAAAAACCTAAAGTATAAGTAGTTAAAATGTCTATGGTAATAAGTAGATTACTTACAGTACAGTCTTATTTAAGTGTTGATTAGAAATATAATCATTAATCCAAATCTGCAAAGTCACTAAAGGTATTAACAAATGTAGTGGTTAAATACTCAAGTAAAGAACAAGTCCTTCCAAATAGTACTTAAGTAGAGTCAATCAATGAAATTGTATTTATATAGCTCATTATCACAAAGGTCTTTATAGTGTGTACCCCTTCTGTCTTGAAGCTGCCTTCACATGACGCACGGTAAAACGGCCCTGCACTGTGTTGTGTTCCAGAGTAGGCTGACCAATCAGACGACAGCTGAGCAGGCTAGCAGGGGACGTTACCATAGAAAGATCTCTAGATGTGAGGGAAATAATTTGTTCCCTGTCTATTCTTATATTTCATAAAGTCATTATGAAAGTCAAATTCAATTGAAATAGATCTCAAATGCTGGAACAGAGCAACTTCATCCTCAAAGGTTGAAGAGGTTCTGCACCCCGCACACAGCTAACAGAAAGAAAGCAGCCAACCCATCCTTCCCATTCATTATCTTAAAGAACCACGATTTTATGGGGCCGGAAAAAGAGGGAAAAAGTACCCGCTAGCCGGTACTAGGCTATATGGAAAGGCCACTAAAAACTGGCCTGGCCGCTTGAGGATGGTTAAGGACGCTTAAACGGGGCTACCCGCTGCAGTGGAAATGCGTCATTAGACATGATCTCAACCTTTCCACCCTAACCCCCCACTCCTTAACCATTTGCAAATCCACCTTTTACCCTTCTGGAATGTCTATGTCTCTGTGCCACATATACAAGACGAAAACATACAATTCAGCCAATCAGAGCACAAGACTTCATATATGTACATGATTCTAAGTGCATATAAGATCATTTGACCGAGTTATCATGTCACTACATATCATATCATGTCACTCTGTGTATCACGTGAATGCAGCTTTAGACCCCTGCAAGAAGAAACTCTCAAAGAAACCCCCCAACAGTAATTGAGTAAATATACCTGTAACTCTACCCCATGGATGAAGTGAATAGTGTGTATGCTGCTGCTGCTGCTGCCTAACGTGTCCTCTCCCCTCAGTGCGCCACCCCTCTGAACTTCGTGGTGAGGTACAAACCTGACGAGCAGCCGCTGCTTGCGCCTCACCACGACGCCTCCACGTTCACTGTTAACATAGCTCTGAACAGCAAGGAAGTAGACTACCAGGTAAATGTGGAGCAGCTGGAGGATGTGAGGATGGGGGCGGGTCTTCTCTCTCTCTCTGCTTCTTCTCTGCTCCCTGTCTGTCAGTCTGTTGTTGTTGTTGTTGTTGTTGTTGTTGTTGTTGCATGAAGCCCCCTGGGGCCTTGTTTTTATTGTTGCATCCCTGGTGTTTCTTTAACCTGGACTAAACCCTCAGACATTAGCTCATGTTATTATCAGGGGGATTCATATTTAGACAAATCAAATGCTAAATCATTATGAGTGAAACTGATGATATATACGTGGGCTTTGTGAGGATTGAACCTAACATTTCTTATATTGACATTTCTTACAATTTGATGTTTTGTAGAAGAAGTCAAATTGCACATACATATAAAGCTGGTATTTATGGAAGAAGATTAGGGCTCAAATTGAATTGGATTGGAATGAGCCAAAAGTGATTTTTTTTGTAGTTCTGAGATTAAAGTCAGAATTATGAAAAAAGAAAATCTAACTTGTTCTGCTCATTTTTCTCAGATTTCTGACTTGAATCTCCGAATTTAATAAAAGAATGAACTTTGTGTCAGAATGAAAAAAGCGTTTGGCCCTAACCATTTTCTGTACGTATTGCAGGCACATTCCATTCAGTATGATGTGATTGTTTGTTTAGTTATTGTACACTAAATAAGTGACATTTAGTTGCACTTGCACTTTGGTAAGTGTACTTGCACGTGAAAGGCTGAAGCTGTTAAATCGGTACAAAATGAACTCTAATAAGGGGAGGGATTTCAATATTCCCCCGGTGTGTGTGTGTGTGTGAGGAGCAGAGGCTGATGTGTGTGTTGTGCTGCAGGGTGGAGGCTGCCGGTTCCTCCGCTACGACTGCTCCATCGAGGCCACTCGTAAAGGCTGGACCCTGATGCACCCGGGCCGCCTCACGCACTACCACGAAGGCCTGCCCACCACTGGGGGGGTGCGCTACATCGCTGTGTCCTTTGTAGACCCTTGAACACATCACCGGCTCTAAAGCCAACAGGCCACTCTGCTGACCGCATCCGAACGCATCACGGCTCTCCACACCTTCGCTCTTCTCTTTCGCTTGTTCTCATGTTAAAAATAATGTTGTTTCTCTGTTACTCTCATACAACGTCTGACCTATTAGCCACAGCACCAGTGCTCTGTGACGAAAACACAGCTGCATAATGAACCCGAACATGTTAGCGCCACATCAGAGGAGAACTGGCTCCACAGTAACACTTCCCCAAAGCTTCTCATATGTAATATTAGCAGGAGTGATGTCACAGCAGCAGAACCTGCGCGGGGTCAGCGAGGCATCGGGGGGCCGGCTCCCCAGGTGGAAGCTTTACAAATAGACATTTATGGTCATTTCAAGTGATTACATTTGTATGTCTCCCACAATTGTGTCATCGTTTCACACTCCACCTGCCTTGGGAAAGTGCCTTGTTATGGTGTTTTGGGTCCTTGGATTTAAGGGAATTGGAGCCTGGAAATTCCTGGAATGAGATTTTCTATAAGGTGAAAAATGTGAAAGAAAGGATGATAAAATATTGTCCTCTTGTGAGTTAGAAAACAGTGATCTTACAGCGTTGTGTAGCCTGCTGTAGGGTACATGATCCAGGATAGTCACAGAGTTTAGTATCATCATTCACCTGAAAATGAGATTAAGGACAGAGGGTGTCGTTTTCCTCATACTGATATTCTGAACAATCTGTGCTGTTGTATTTGCTGTAAAGTGTCTCTACTGTAGGCTATTTTTATTATATGTACAGCACTTTGGCTCGACCAAAAATCGTTTATAAATGTGCTATATAAATAAAACTTGATTTGATGATTACATTACAAAGACAGCTAAGAATTAACAATGTTCCGCCAGATGTTATCAGGAAGTAGCTCCTATGCTAACATGCAGCGGGAACACCTGATCAGAAACGTCTCACACTCCAACCTCATCTCACCAGCTTTATTCTCCTAAGTAGACGTGTTACTTTAGTCCCAGTTCTGAACTCATGTGTGTGTGTGTGTGTGTGTAGAACAATGTTGACATTTTCAGTCAGAAGCTACGTTGTAGTGTTCAGACCCCGTCACATGGACTCCTCAGGAAACCACCAGCTCCAATTTTTTACCAACGCTTGTGGAAAATATTGTTACATTTACACTAGCTGTCCCATTCTGTGTTGCTAAAGTACATCTTTACTAACTTTTTCAACAGACACTTCCAAATCCTGCTAAGGCTCTCTTATTTATTGTGTGTATATATCATTTGATAAAGGCCACACTCCCTAAATAGTTTTGCAATATAACTGCATTTTGGGAGAGATACTGAAGTCCTTCTCTGGCGCACTCACTGATATCAGCTGAGTTAAAGTTTTACATCTAACGTTGTCATTTCTTGTTACCAGCCATCACTGAGCTAAGACTACAACTTGAATAAATCTGTGAACCAAACGGTGTGTGAACTGTGATTGAACTTCTGTCCCTCGCTGTGCCAGAAGCTGGAGGACAGAACTGACAGCAGAGAAACAGATGAAGCAAATCTAGCAGTTCAGTTTGAAAATATAGCATAGGCACCCCCATCATGTTCAGCTAACATGAGCCTGTCTTAAAGTCAGGAGTATTTTGTCAGATGGAGTGAATTGTCAGCCGTGGAGAACACTTTTAATTGACTCCTAGATACAACTTACATTTTGTGAGCTGCATCTCTATTTGAAGCATCATAAAATTAGCATTTGTTATTATTGTTATGTTAGTCTCCACCAAATCCTGAGCAAAATAAGTGTCGTTATCTGTAACAGCATCAAGACATTACATTCTAAAAGTGCTTTCATCTGACTCCAAACTATTGTTAAATGTGGCATGGCTGTCATATCACTGAAAAGGTGCTCAAGCCTATGGATTCTGCAACACCATCTTTGACAGAACTTTAAAATCTGTTGATGTCCTTTGTAGTTTCCTTTTAATGTTAAGTTGAAATTCAGTCATATTATACCTTCATGCCAGTTTATATACTAATTAAAAAGTCTGGTGCACAAAACTCAAAAGAATGAAAATAACCAGAAAAAGTCAAACTCCAAACAGAACGCCTTTTCTGTATCCTTGCATATTCTCCTGGCTGAATCACCACGAACAAACTGAACGTTTTATCAAATAAACTCAATAAACATTGTAACCATTGCAAAGTCTGGGTTTCCAAGTGAAACACTGAAGATGTTGAAAAGTAGCCAGTGGTTATTTGGAATTCTTACACTTTATTGATTAAAAGCAGTATATAAAAGAAGCAAAAGGATAGAATATGCTGCTTGGAATGATAGTGTGGGCAAGACATGAAAGCACTGATAGAAAAGTGTTAATGTACAGCAGGTGGCTAAAGCTAAACAGATAACAAGACAGTAAAGGCAGCTCCTGGCATCTCAAACACATCCAGCGTGCCACACTAATGGGAAACGTTCAACAATGTCTGAAGTGGTTAAATAAAGAGTGAGTCCTGATCACAGGCGGAAGCGGTCAGAGAAGTTTGGGGAGTGGGGGATGGTGAGGGGGACATCACTCTTCTTCACGGCCACAGGTTTGTAGTGTCTGATGGGCTGAGCAGCGTGAACCTGCAGGAAGAGAACACCAGGTATGAGTCCCACATGGGAATCAGGAAAATATTTCTAAAGTATCAGGAAAAAAACTGTTGATATAGCAGGTCAAAAAAACAAAGCAAAAAACAACGTAGTATGTTGTACATATTGTGGAAAAGACAAGTTGGAGATGTGCAAAAAAAGAGTGAATTATGTTGAAAATATCAGAACAAACAAATAGTATAATCATTTTGCAGGGACCTGGTCATTCCGCATCTTGGTGACGTCGTCCTTCTCCCTCTGCTCCACCTCTTGTCTCTGCTGCTCCTCCATCAGCATCCTGAGAGCCTCCTTGTCATTGGCCAGACGCTCAAACTCCTGGCGCTCGTGGGCCCGCCTCTCGGTCGACAGCGCAAAGGCCTCCACGACTGGAAGAAGAATCATGAGTGACATGATGAGAACCGCTTCATACTTCAGAGCACTCCCAAGGAGGGTTATATGTGACCTGCTTTATCAAAATCAGTCACACCTACCCCCCAAACAACATTTGGACTCGTAGACACCGTTGTAAAGAGGAGATTCTTAGCTTTTCAATATTGGTTTTGTTCTCCATATTCGGCATCACATGTCACAATGACGGCTACTAAAACACAATTATGAAATAAAAAGACCTTCAAAGTATCCAGATTGTTTTTGAAGGCAATGTTATTATTAGAGGGGGTACCAGGCCATATATTATGGGGGTACCTTTTTTACAGGTCTATCTGATGATAGTCTGATATGACAACTCGAGTATATATTGATTATACCCGATACAACATTACATTGGTGAATACTGGGGTTCAAAACTGCTAATATAGAACAAACAGGTGGTCATTGGAAGTATGGTGAATAATAAATAATATGCCAATCTACAGCGCAGCTAATGTTCTGGAGCGTTCCGGTTATATAATGTGTAGTCGCATTCTACGCAGAGCCTTGCGGTGAAATCAGTGCAGTTTTATTCTAGCTTGCGCCCCTACATGCAGCCATCCGACAATCTTGAGCCTTGCCTGGCAGCACCGCTCTCTGTTTAGGAACACAACGGCAACACCAGCGCAAGAGACCTTTTATTGAGCATCATGTGAGTGCAGAACCCGTTTAGATTCAGTTCAGTGTCACATTTCGTGAGCGACTGGCTCCACATCATTCTGCTTCCAGAAGAGATATGCAGCCAATGGCAGGCTTAGATGCCTACATCCTGAGTGCAGGGGTGTTTTCGACTTACCCACTGGAGCCCGCAGGCCTTTTTTAGGCTGGAAAGGCTCTTTATGAGTGACAGTGTTGGGCCTGGCTTTGAATACTGCAGCCTCCTCACGCTTCTGCTCCTCTTTGGCCTACAAGAAGAACAAAAGAAAGAAAAAAAAGTTGTAGATCTTAAATTCAAGTAAAAGATGGCCATGATTGAGGATGAAAATGTGGAAGTAATGGTACCATCTGCTCTGTGCGACTGCTCTTCACGGCCCCCCGCTCGTCCAGCAGCAGCTTGAAGGGCTCGGGCTTGGTGGGCTCCAGCCTCTTCTTCTCGGGGAGGAGCACGGCGTCAAAGGCGGGCAGCGGCTGGGCCTTGAAGTGAGGCACCTGGGAAGGTTCAAGGAGACAGGAGGAAGAGGTTTAACTGTTGAGTCTTCATTCTGGGGGTCAGAGGACACAGGGTGTGGTAGCAGACCCCCACCTCTTCATTGCGCTTCTCCTCCAGCTTTTTCTCCTTCAGGGCCCTCCTCTCTCGGTCCCGCTCTTCGAAGGAGAACGGACACACCTCCACGTGGTGGTTCTCCTGCAGCTGGGGCAGGAAGGGGAGCCCAAAGTGAGGCACTGGGGGGGCCTTGATGGGCGAGGGCTGCTTTACCTGGCAGAAAGAGAAACGTTTGGTTACGTTGAAAGAGAAGTCTTGGTATAAACTTCCTGTTTGACCCGTTTCCAAAGGTTTTTATTTCTGGATAAAAGGTTTGTTCTATACTACATTTTAATAAAGAAAAAATAATTATGATCACTTTCACTTTGCATCTGCTGTCTTTTTGTTTGTAAAATAATTTAAAGGTCCCATGTCATGCTTCCTCTCCGCCGATTTCTCCTCCCTGAGACGGCGGGACAAGGCGAGGCTGGGAGTCTGTGTGTGTGTCCCATGACATGGGACCTTTAAGGTTTTGGCCTTTTTTAGCTCCGAAATGAGGTTTCTTTTTGTGTAAATTAGGTATATTAACCATACATTTCCAAAAAGAAGAGCAAAACTTGTGGTAACAAGTCAGAATAAAGCTGGCTTAAAAAGATGCAACACAGATTTGGCTGATTATTTATACTGTATACTATGTAGGACCAAAGTTGCACAGTTGATGGGAAGACAGATGTGTCCTCACCTCCTCCACCTTCTCCACACGGACCCTTTTCTTCAGGATGAAGGCTGGAGACTCTGGCACCGTCGGTTGCAGAACCTTCTTGTCTGGCAGACCCTGTCATCAAAGTGAAAGTGTTGGTGTGACATGCTCATGGAAACAATCTCAAAGCTAAAGCACTGGGACTCACCACGACTCCCTCCAGGATCTTTCTGGGCAGCGGCTGGGCTCTGAAGCTGGGATGCTTCTCCTCGGCCTCCTGGGGCCTCTTGGTCTGCCTCTCATGCAGCCTCTTGTCAATCTGCAGCTGGAAGCCTTCAGGCACTGTGGACTCCTTCACTGGGGGTCTCTTCAGGCACTCTGCGCTCTTCAGGATCTTCCGGTTCAGCTCCAAGGCGATGATTTTAAACCTGATTAAAGAGACAGTTGAATAACCCTGGACGTATTAACACCTGAGTCTTTGACAGGACTATGGGCAAGAGAAGAGGGCTCTTACTTCTGCTGTTTCTCCAGCTCTTCCTCCTCCAGCTCAGCGCTGCTCTTGGTGACGGTGGGGGCGGTTCCTCCGGTGGGTCATCAAGTGAGGGGTGTGTGACTGGGTGAGTTTCAGCTTATCCCCCTTCACCCCCGAGGGTCCTGAAGAACACGGGATGTCAGTAAGTGGCCCTTCAACCCCCTCTGCATAGAACACACACCTTTACTTTTTTGGATAAAAGCGTCAGCTAAATGTAATGTTTACAACCAATCTGGCTCCAAACACACCTTTGTTTATACTCTTGCGACTGCGCAGATGGTAGCGATCGGGGGTTCGATTCTGGAACTGCAAACAGCTAAATGTGCACCCCAAAATAGATAAATGTTCATTATTTGTTGTATTAAGAGTGATATTTAATTATTGTTGTGACCAGTAGGAACCTGATACTTAAGTGGCACGTGCATTGGTGTGATTACGGAGCCAGAAAGCGATGCACGTTTACTCTCGTGCGCCGTGTGTTTGTTTTACAAAAAATGGCGAAGCAAATTAAGTTGTTTGACTGTGGGGTAAAAAGTTCGGCCAACCCGTCAACATCTGAACGAATGTTCAAAGTGATTCAACTGATAAAGCGCAAGGTGAACCCGAACGAAAAGCAAAGAGGAAATGTGTAAAGTCTTGGCAGGCGAAATATATAAGTACATTCTGCTCCGTTGTGCATTCACTTCCGGTTAAAGTTCCTTCAAAATAAGAGTCCCGATCTTATTACGACCAAAATGCTAAACGAAACTTTACCATAGGAAAATATTGGCATACAATATAATCACTTCTATAAAAAGGTAAAACATTTTAAATATAGTTAGAAATATTAATAAATATGTTACAGCATTACTAATTAATATCTAATTCTTAACTGTGAATGGTTTTCATTTATTTAACATTAGAAATGTATTAGTCTGGCCAATCCATTGCTGAAGGGCCAATGGATCTATGGTGGGGGTCAGCAAAACCCAAATTTGAAAGGGAAACAACGGATGACGAAATTAGTGACTTGCTCAATTCAATTCATTTGTGGATCTGTGAAGAACAACAGCTGCACTACTGGTATTTTGTATACCAGCAATTAAGGGTGGACAAGTTTACTACCACTTAAGTTTCAAATAATTGTGTTAATTACTTATTGTAAAGCATTTGAACATTCTTTTGTGTCACATTTTCATTATTAAATTGATGTATAACTGTATAGTATCTTAATTATTTAAAAATAGGGCTGTCAAACGATTAACATTTTTAATCAGATTAATCACAGCTTAAAAATTAATTAATCATGATTAATCACCATTCGAACTATGTCCAAAATATGTCATTTCTTTATGTATATTGTTGTGGGAATGGAAAGATAAATGAAAGAAGGCGGATATATCCATTTAACATGTTTATTGTAAAAATGTTCTGTGTGGCAAAATGAAAGAGAGCACCTATCAATCATCAAACCGTGGGGTCTTAATTCATTACGTGTTGATTTCTATCAACGGGGGAGTACTTCAGGAAAGTCGACCACAAATGCGGCTTTCACACAAGCGGCAAACTCTGGGGAACAGCCGGGACGCCAATACGGAAGTGCCACACACATACATGGGCTGCTATGGACTGGCTGCAGAAAGGAGCAATTTCCATAGACCCCCATGTTAAAATGGCCAACTTTACAGCAGAAAAAAACATGTTTCTACCCCTGGCTCCATACATTTTATTATCGATATAGTTAGATTCCACCTTCATGATTATGGATCTGTGAGTGAATTGTTTTCTAACATGACCCTTTTATTTATATTAGGTCTTAAAGTTTTTGCATAAATTAGGGCGTGGTCACTTTGATGGACATGTCTCACTGTCAGCTAACAGCAACTTGTCCACTCTGCTAGGCTACAACCATAGAGGCTACAACGTTAGTTAGTCATAGTACTGTACTTGACCCTTTAGTTTTAGCCGTCTTCGTGGTGATTGTGCCTTTTAGGGAATATTGTTACAAATACCAGACAATTAAAATGTTGTGCTGTGCGCTTGAATGTACTAACAGAACTTCCAAGAAGTCTAAAATGATAATATTATACATGTTAACCCCGTTCACAGGTGTTTGTGTGCTTGGTAGCTTAGCTTGTTACTTATTAGCCAGCTAAGGACGTAACCCTTTATGCATACATATCCGGGCGGTGGAGTCCGTCGTTATAACTGGAGATCAAGGAATGCAGCGAAACCAGAGCGAAACGCAGACTTGGTTCGCCTGCTGTAGTATTAGCTAAATAAATGTTGAACAAGGCTTATTAAGCTGAACATCGCCACAATTGTTCTGCTATGTATCGGTACTTCTTTTCTTAACGTGTGAATGACGAGCATTAAGAATAACAAAATATAGCTAATTCTCTTGCAGATGAATGTAACGTTTATATAGGGGAACTAAACTGTTAGCAGTAACTTAGTATGCATGTATTTCATGTTCGCTTAGCTTCTTAGCCTGAGCTAGCTCTGTTTACTTCCAGTTCTGAGGCAGCAGGTCCCGCCTGCTCCAAATAAGGGCAAAGAGGCGGAGCCGAGGCGGGACCTGCTGCCTCAGAGAGGATTAGACTCTGACGTTGCTGTCAAGCCGTTAGTGGCCGACTCCGCCTACTAAGGGCTTCACGGCAACTCTGCAGAATCCTATGGGTGACGTCACGGACACATTTAAATGGTACCAAACAGTTAGCAAGGACATTAGCATTTGTTAAGTCTGGTAAATTCACTCACTGCCAGCCAGAGCCGCTTTGTAGCTGGCCTCGTTCTGCTTCCGATGCAGAGCCACTTCATTCTGCAGGGTCCTGATGCGCTCCATCTCTTGGTCTTCAGAGCTAGATGGCCTGTTTGGAACACGTCAGTCATCAGCAAAAACTTAGCTTTAACCTGCTTTCCATCTCAGCCTCATGTAAAGTGGAACTTTCCCATTCAAAGCGCTACACACTTTGGCTTACCGACATGGAATATAACAATGTGTAGGAACTAGGGATGCACGATATTGGTTTTTTGAAACCGATACCGATAACTTCCTGCTTCTCAAGACCGATACCGATAATAATATAATATATATATATTAAATGTACCTGTAGTTTTTGCACACCTGGTGGTAAAAAAAAGACTAGTAGTGAGCAAATGACATGAGCATTGCTACTATGAACAAAACAAAGCCAAGAACCGTTTTGACTCTTCAAAGTGACCATATTTATTTTCCCAAATAAAGTTCTTGCCTTTTTCAAAAGCCTCGTCGATAGGTAAAAGCCCCGGTGCCTTTGCAGCTGGCTTTGGATTCGCCGCTAGTTTAGCAGAGCAGGCGTCTTCGTACGCTTTTAACACACCATCGTAGCGATGGCGATGTTTCAGGTGACTAATCAGGTTGGAAGTATTATAGCTCGTTGCCTTTTTCCCTCCTCGTGGAACTTCTGCATTGCATTTGTTAATACAAATAGCAAGTGAACTATCTAACTCTGAAACTTTGAAATAGTCCCATACTACCGGCGACATGTTTGTTTACTGTCCTGGCTTCACGGCCGCACACCATTTACGTCACAGCCAGGCATGAGTTAGGGAGCGCTGGATTTGTGAAAAACTCCCCTCTTCCTAAACCACTAATACCACAGTACTGGCAAAACGGGAGGAGCCGAGTGAAAAACAAGCGCCCCTCATCCCAATCCACCCACACCGCAGTATTTTTTTTACCCAAAAAATATATTGTATATTATCGGGGCTATTAATACTTTTATCGGGTTTATCGGGATGACATCATAATTCCTAATATCGGGCCGATAATTATCGGGCCGATAATTATCGTGCACCACTAGTGGGAACGTTACCTTTGATGACAATTTGGCGAGAAGCCGGAGGCTATAACTCATCTTTGAATAATGCAATCACAAGACAGAAACAGCAGAAGGAGGCTTTCCCCGATAGAAGACCTACTCTGTGTTTGAAGTGTTTGAAGTAGCTGAAGCTGCTGCCTGGCTCTTAGGCGCCGTCCTGCTGTTCTGCGGGCATTTACTGCGGCGGAGCACACTGCTGGACTTTCGGGGTTCAGGAGTTCTACAACAAAGAATTGAAGAAGAAAACGTGAAGGAGAAAAGTTTAACAAGGGAACGAAGTTGACTGGGTCTCTAATGGGGAACATTGTGTCTGTTAATACTGGAACATCAGTCAGCTGTGGGGTAAAGGGATAGAAATAAAAAAGGTCAGATGTCACTTACTTTTTGTGCTTCTTTAAGGGTGGAGCGGGACCACTGGACGCCTCTTTACGCTTTAAAACCCTAAAATGAATAAATCAATTAGAAATGTATTCAATCACACAATTAATCTCAAGTAAAAGGCAAGTGTCTAGAAAACAAAAAATACTACATTTCCCACAATGCAACTCAATAGAATCTTTTTTTTACAGAACCCTGCATATAGTCCTAATATTTCCAGCTGCACTCCTAAGGTTCCCGCGAAAGCTTCAAACTAAGATGCCACAGACATCATGCAGGTTGAAACATTCAAATAAATCGAATCATGTTAATACGAGTTTCAACAGTAATGAGAATAATGCCGCAAAACCTTTCCAATTTGTTTCCCCCCCCAAATCATGCAGCCCCAGAACAAACGATACAACACACACCCCTGCTGTATGGGTAGGGTTATATTAATCAGTACTAGGGCTGCAACAAACGACTAATTTGATAATCGATTAATCGACTATTCGGACTATTATGCCTTGCACAATTTCTCAAGCGCTCTTATTTATCAACTTTTAGATTTAGCTTGAGGTTGTTCTAGGCATGTGGAAACTAACAATGAAGACAATAAAGATGAATACTTGATTCAAAAATACATATATTATTAAATTAACTAAACACATTTTGAACAAAACTAACATTGCTTTTTATTTAAATTAAATAAATAATATTTCACATCAAAAGAAACAACAGTGTTTTAACAAATCGTATTAAATAATCTGATGACAGAACTGTAAACAGAATAGCTGAACATTTAACAAACTAAATAACTCAGTTTCCTCTAATCATTAACCCATGTTTGTATCATTGAGTTAACTCTGTGTGTTGCTGCTAGCATACATAACACCTGACGTGGAAACGTTACTCGTGGATGGGGCTACAGAGCTACTAGAAAGACAGTGGAACCCGGTGCATTCCTCCGTCTGGATGTGGAGCACTTTTGCTAAATGTTTAGACAAATTGCTTGTGTTACCGCCCTTACATGCTAAACTCTTGCACTTTTGGTAACGAGCATTGTCCACATCGAGACGGGTAAAGTGTAACCACACCTCGGAGCGCGTTCTGTGGCATGTAGCAGCTGCGTGTGTGTGTAAACTGCCCCGCCCCCTCGCACACAGACGGGGGAGAGAGATCTCGTCTGATCGAAAATACATCATAGACGCATTTGTCTTTTTGCATATTAGAAACGAGTTGGTGACACTAAGACTGCGATATAATGTTTTTGTAGCAATAATACATGACATATATTTTTTAAATGTCTCCAGTACCGATAAAAAGACCAATAACGTTGGAGCTTAACGGCGCGTAAAACACACGTGATGACGTCACCAACGAATCGACGACTGAATTAGTTGGCAACTAATTTGGTAATCGATTTTAATCGATTAGTTGTTGCACCCCTAATCAGTACCACATGTTATTTGCTTTAAATTAATGAAATACTGGGTTGCAGCCTTATTGTAGCAAAAATAGTGACCATAACCGTGACTTTACCTGCGAGGTGCTGGGGGATTAGAGGTCCTCTTTGAGCGCGCACCAGTGCGAGCTGGAGACCCAGCACCCCAGGAGGTGACCAGGTTAGCAGGTGGAGTTGGAGATGGGGGTGGAGATGGGGGTGGGGGTGGGGGTGGAATAGGAGCTGAAATATTAAAAAAGGAGAACTTATGGAAGTGTTCACTGGATAACATAAATCTACAGGCTATTTACACACAAGTTTGAAAGGGTATCCTATTATGGCTTTTGGAGTTTTCCCTTTCTGAACATTAAAGCATGTCACAGTAGAGACACTAAATACAAAAATAACCCTGAAAATGAGCAGAATATGTTCTCCTTATTTATCGGCTCGTTGATTGCTATGACTGAGCAGCCATTGGAAGCCATTGTAACTGTTGTGAATGCAAATTGACAAATAAAAACGAACCTGGGATGTCGTCCACCTTGATCTGCGGGGCTACGATGGCTCGACGCAGGTCCAGGTCATGGATGTCCCTGAAGGATTTGTCAGTCCTCAGAGGAGTAACAAGGCGGCCATCACTGGTCTGTTGTTCTGCACAAAAGAGACGGTCAAAGATCAAGAGGGGGTCTCCTTTTACAGATACTTGATGGTTAATTTAAACATAGAACAGTTAACCCAATCTGTACTGTAGTATGGGCATGGTCATCATTTTTGTATCATTTGGGCTTATTTAAATGTTAAAACTCATCACAAATACCTCTAATTGCTAGTCATTTCCTACTTGTAATAGGGCTTTCAGACAGACATGGTGAAGTGGATCAAACCTCACAGTGGTGTGTAACTGAACTTGCACTCAGGGAGAAGTTGTGGTGATGTGCTGTTATGTCTGAAATGATTATCTAACCAGAGAGAGAACCTGCTTTTCACTTCGGCCACATGTTTAAGGAAAATATCTGTGGTGTCATCAACCTCCCTCACGTTGTGTGGTGGCAAAAGAAAGAACCGGCTAATTTACTGATGTCCTAAAGAGGCAATCACCTACTCAAATGTTATGGAGGAATTACAGATATTGCAAATACATCCCGTGCATATTACTGTTAGACCACATTGTATATATATATATTTAAAAAAAGAGATATTAATTGGTTTTGCACTGATTTTTCAACTCTTTTTTTTACAACAACATTGCCCTGACTGTGTTTTGTATGCACGATAACCAACCAAAGCTAATTCCTTGCAAGTGTAAACCTACTTGGCAATAAACCTGATTCTGATTACTACAGTTCACAGTTGGATCAATAGCAGACAGATGCAGAGATATTAAACTTACCAAACCACTTGTCCTCGCCCTCAGCCTTCTGCTCTGCTAACATTAGCATGTCCACTACGTGCGATGGGGCATCAAACTCGTAGCGATCACCGGAGTCGCTGTCCGCCATAGTGTCAATGTGTTATTCGACAACTCCCCTAAAGAAGAAAACAGTTAACATGAACACTCTTTGATAAAAGTGTCCCAATGTACAAGAGTCTCTAACTCTAACCAATGTCGATTAGCTTGTTTTGAACTAGCGGATAGCTTAACGTTACAATGTATGGCGTAGCTTGTATTTTTAATGGAACAAACAGAAACACCACTTGGAAAGCAAAGTCAGTTATCCACATGAACCAAATCAACTTTGAAAAGGAGTGGCACAAATTCCTGCTGGAGTACATCGCACCGATCACAGAGAAGATGTATCCTGGGTACTACACCAAGGTACGGCTGACACAGCATCATGTCCCCCGTGGAAGGACGATTCAGATCCTTTACTTTAAAGTACTATTACTGCATTCCAAACATCTATACATTCACCCATTGATTTTGGTACTTCATTATAATGTATAGTGTTATCCACATCAGAACTTCATATTTAAAACAATCTTAAAAAGAAAAACTAGAGATGAAAAATAAAGTAAAATCTGAATATTTTCCTTTGAATTGTAGAGGAGTAGAAGTATTTAGTGGTACAGAAAGAAAAACCTAAAGTATAAGTAGTTAAAATGTCTATGGTAATAAGTAGATTACTTACAGTACAGTCTTATTTAAGTGTTGATTAGAAATATAATCATTAATCCAAATCTGCAAAGTCACTAAAGGTATTAACAAATGTAGTGGTTAAATACTCAAGTAAAGAACAAGTCCTTCCAAATAGTACTTAAGTAGAGTCAATCAATGAAATTGTATTTATATAGCTCATTATCACAAAGGTCTTTATAGTGTGTACCCCTTCTGTCTTGAAGCTGCCTTCACATGACGCACGGTAAAACGGCCCTGCACTGTGTTGTGTTCCAGAGTAGGCTGACCAATCAGACGACAGCTGAGCAGGCTAGCAGGGGACGTTACCATAGAAAGATCTCTAGATGTGAGGGAAATAATTTGTTCCCTGTCTATTCTTATATTTCATAAAGTCATTATGAAAGTCAAATTCAATTGAAATAGATCTCAAATGCTGGAACAGAGCAACTTCATCCTCAAAGGTTGAAGAGGTTCTGCACCCCGCACACAGCTAACAGAAAGAAAGCAGCCAACCCATCCTTCCCATTCATTATCTTAAAGAACCACGATTTTATGGGGCCGGAAAAAGAGGGAAAAAGTACCCGCTAGCCGGTACTAGGCTATATGGAAAGGCCACCAAAAACTGGCCTGGCCGCTTGAGGATGGTTAAGGACGCTTAAACGGGGCTACCCGCTGCAGTGGAAATGCGTCATTAGACATGATCTCAACCTTTCCACCCTAACCCCCCACTCCTTAACCATTTGCAAATCCACCTTTTACCCTTCTGGAATGTCTATGTCTCTGTGCCACATATACAAGACGAAAACATACAATTCAGCCAATCAGAGCACAAGACTTCATATATGTACATGATTCTAAGTGCATATAAGATCATTTGACCGAGTTATCATGTCACTACATATCATATCATGTCACTCTGTGTATCACGTGAATGCAGCTTTAGACCCCTGCAAGAAGAAACTCTCAAAGAAACCCCCCAACAGTAATTGAGTAAATATACCTGTAACTCTACCCCATGGATGAAGTGAATAGTGTGTATGCTGCTGCTGCTGCTGCCTAACGTGTCCTCTCCCCTCAGTGCGCCACCCCTCTGAACTTCGTGGTGAGGTACAAACCTGACGAGCAGCCGCTGCTTGCGCCTCACCACGACGCCTCCACGTTCACTGTTAACATAGCTCTGAACAGCAAGGAAGTAGACTACCAGGTAAATGTGGAGCAGCTGGAGGATGTGAGGATGGGGGCGGGTCTTCTCTCTCTCTCTGCTTCTTCTCTGCTCCCTGTCTGTCAGTCTGTTGTTGTTGTTGCATGAAGCCCCCTGGGGCCTTGTTTTTATTGTTGCATCCCTGGTGTTTCTTTAACCTGGACTAAACCCTCAGACATTAGCTCATGTTATTATCAGGGGGATTCATATTTAGACAAATCAAATGCTAAATCATTATGAGTGAAACTGATGATATATACGTGGGCTTTGTGAGGATTGAACCTAACATTTCTTATATTGACATTTCTTACAATTTGATGTTTTGTAGAAGAAGTCAAATTGCACATACATATAAAGCTGGTATTTATGGAAGAAGATTAGGGCTCAAATTGAATTGGATTGGAATGAGCCAAAAGTGATTTTTTTTGTAGTTCTGAGATTAAAGTCAGAATTATGAAAAAAGAAAATCTAACTTGTTCTGCTCATTTTTCTCAGATTTCTGACTTGAATCTCCGAATTTAATAAAAGAATGAACTTTGTGTCAGAATGAAAAAAGCGTTTGGCCCTAACCATTTTCTGTACGTATTGCAGGCACATTCCATTCAGTATGATGTGATTGTTTGTTTAGTTATTGTACACTAAATAAGTGACATTTAGTTGCACTTGCACTTTGGTAAGTGTACTTGCACGTGAAAGGCTGAAGCTGTTAAATCGGTACAAAATGAACTCTAATAAGGGGAGGGATTTCAATATTCCCCCGGTGTGTGTGTGTGTGTGAGGAGCAGAGGCTGATGTGTGTGTTGTGCTGCAGGGTGGAGGCTGCCGGTTCCTCCGCTACGACTGCTCCATCGAGGCCACTCGTAAAGGCTGGACCCTGATGCACCCGGGCCGCCTCACGCACTACCACGAAGGCCTGCCCACCACTGGGGGGGTGCGCTACATCGCTGTGTCCTTTGTAGACCCTTGAACACATCACCGGCTCCAAAGCCAACAGGCCACTCTGCTGACCGCATCCGAACGCATCACGGCTCTCCACACCTTCGCTCTTCTCTTTCGCTTGTTCTCATGTTAAAAATAATGTTGTTTCTCTGTTACTCTCATACAACGTCTGACCTATTAGCCACAGCACCAGTGCTCTGTGACGAAAACACAGCTGCATAATGAACCCGAACATGTTAGCGCCACATCAGAGGAGAACTGGCTCCACAGTAACACTTCCCCAAAGCTTCTCATATGTAATATTAGCAGGAGTGATGTCACAGCAGCAGAACCTGCGCGGGGTCAGCGAGGCATCGGGGGGCCGGCTCCCCAGGTGGAAGCTTTACAAATAGACATTTATGGTCATTTCAAGTGATTACATTTGTATGTCTCCCACAATTGTGTCATCGTTTCACACTCCACCTGCCTTGGGAAAGTGCCTTGTTATGGTGTTTTGGGTCCTTGGATTTAAGGGAATTGGAGCCTGGAAATTCCTGGAATGAGATTTTCTATAAGGTGAAAAATGTGAAAGAAAGGATGATAAAATATTGTCCTCTTGTGAGTTAGAAAACAGTGATCTTACAGCGTTGTGTAGCCTGCTGTAGGGTACATGATCCAGGATAGTCACAGAGTTTAGTATCATCATTCACCTGAAAATGAGATTAAGGACAGAGGGTGTCGTTTTCCTCATACTGATATTCTGAACAATCTGTGCTGTTGTATTTGCTGTAAAGTGTCTCTACTGTAGGCTATTTTTATTATATGTACAGCACTTTGGCTCGACCAAAAATCGTTTATCAATGTGCTATATAAATAAAACTTGATTTGATGATTACATTACAAAGACAGCTAAGAATTAACAATGTTCAGCCAGATGTTATCAGGAAGTAGCTCCTATGCTAACATGCAGCGGGAACACCTGATCAGAAACGTCTCACACTCCAACCTCATCTCACCAGCTTTATTCTCCTAAGTAGACGTGTTACTTTAGTCCCAGTTCTGAACTCATGTGTGTGTGTGTGTGTGTGTGTAGAACAATGTTGACATTTTCAGTCAGAAGCTACGTTGTAGTGTTCAGACCCCGTCACATGGACTCCTCAGGAAACCACCAGCTCCAATTTTTTACCAACGCTTGTGGAAAATATTGTTACATTTACACTAGCTGTCCCATTCTGTGTTGCTAAAGTACATCTTTACTAACTTTTTCAACAGACACTTCCAAATCCTGCTAAGGCTCTCTTATTTATTGTGTGTATATATCATTTGATAAAGGCCACACTCCCTAAATAGTTTTGCAATATAACTGCATTTTGGGAGAGATACTGAAGTCCTTCTCTGGCGCACTCACTGATATCAGCTGAGTTAAAGTTTTACATCTAACGTTGTCATTTCTTGTTACCAGCCATCACTGAGCTAAGACTACAACTTGAATAAATCTGTGAACCAAACGGTGTGTGAACTGTGATTGAACTTCTGTCCCTCGCTGTGCCAGAAGCTGGAGGACAGAACTGACAGCAGAGAAACAGATGAAGCAAATCTAGCAGTTCAGTTTGAAAATATAGCATAGGCACCCCCATCATGTTCAGCTAACATGAGCCTGTCTTAAAGTCAGGAGTATTTTGTCAGATGGAGTGAATTGTCAGCCTTGGAGAACACTTTTAATTGACTCCTAGATACAACTTACATTTTGTGAGCTGCATCTCTATTTGAAGCATCATAAAATTAGCATTTGTTATTATTGTTATGTTAGTCTCCACCAAATCCTGAGCAAAATAAGTGTCGTTATCTGTAACAGCATCAAGACATTACATTCTAAAAGTGCTTTCATCTGACTCCAAACTATTGTTAAATGTGGCATGGCTGTCATATCACTGAAAAGGTGCTCAAGCCTATGGATTCTGCAACACCATCTTTGACAGAACTTTAAAATCTGTTGATGTCCTTTGTAGTTTCCTTTTAATGTTAAGTTGAAATTCAGTCCTATTATACCTTCATGCCAGTTTATATACTAATTAAAAAGTCTGGTGCACAAAACTCAAAAGAATGAAAATAACCAGAAAAAGTCAAACTCCAAACAGAATGCCTTTTCTGTATCCTTGCATATTCTCCTGGCTGAATCACCACGAACAAACTGAACGTTTTATCAAATAAACTCAATAAACATTTTAACCATTGCAAAGTCTGGATTTCCAAGTGAAACACTGAAGATGTTGAAAAGTAGCCAGTGGTTATTTGGAATTCTTACACTTTATTGATTAAAAGCAGTATATAAAAGAAGCAAAAGGATAGAATATGCTGCTTGGAATGATAGTGTGGGCAAGACATGAAAGCACTGATAGAAAAGTGTTAATGTACAGCAGGTGGCTAAAGCTAAACAGATAACAAGACAGTAAAGGCAGCTCCTGGCATCTCAAACACATCCAGCGTGCCACACTAATGGGAAACGTTCAACAATGTCTGAAGTGGTTAAATAAAGAGTGAGTCCTGATCACAGGCGGAAGCGGTCAGAGAAGTTTGGGGAGTGGGGGATGGTGAGGGGGACATCACTCTTCTTCACGGCCACAGGTTTGTAGTGTCTGATGGGCTGAGCAGCGTGAACCTGCAGGAAGAGAACACCAGGTATGAGTCCCACATGGGAATCAGGAAAATATTTCTAAAGTATCAGGAAAAAAACTGTTGATATAGCAGGTCAAAAAAACAAAGCAAAAAACAACGTAGTATAATATGCAAGGAGTATGCGCAAAAAACACGTAGTATGTTGTACATATTGTGGAAAAGACAAGTTGGAGATGTGCAAAAAAAGAGTGAATTATGTTGAAAATATCAGAACAAACAAATAGTATAATCATTTTGCAGGGACCTGGTCATTCCGCATCTTGGTGACGTCGTCCTTCTCCCTCTGCTCCACCTCTTGTCTCTGCTGCTCCTCCATCAGCATCCTGAGAGCCTCCTTGTCATTGGCCAGACGCTCAAACTCCTGGCGCTCGTGGGCCCGCCTCTCGGTCGACAGCGCAAAGGCCTCCACGACTGGAAGAAGAATCATGAGTGACATGATGAGAACCGCTTCATACTTCAGAGCACTCTCAAGGAGGGTTATATGTGACCTGCTTTATCAAAATCAGTCACACCTACCCCCCAAACAACATTTGGACTCGTAGACACCGTTGTAAAGAGGAGATTCTTAGCTTTTCAATATTGGTTTTGTTCTCCATATTCGTCATCACATGTCACAATGACGGCTACTAAAACACAATTATGAAATAAAAAGACCTTCAAAGTATCCAGATTGTTTTTGAAGGCAATGTTATTATTAGAGGGGGTACCAGGCCATATATTATGGGGGTACCTTTTTTACAGGTCTATCTGATGATAGTCTGATATGACAACTCGAGTATATATTGATTATACCCGATACAACATTACATTGGTGAATACTGGGGTTCAAAACTGCTAATATAGAACAAACAGGTGGTCATTGGAAGTATGGTGAATAATAAATAATATGCCAATCTACAGCGCAGCTAATGTTCTGGAGCGTTCCGGTTATATAATGTGTAGTCGAATTCTACGCAGAGCCTTGCGGTGAAATCAGTGCAGTTTTATTCTAGCTTGCGCCCCTACATGCAGCCATCCGACAATCTTGAGCCTTGCCTGGCAGCACCGCTCTCTGTTTAGGAACACAACGGCAACACCAGCGCAAGAGACCTTTTATTGAGCATCATGTGAGTGCAGAACCCGTTTAGATTCAGTTCAGTGTCACATTTCGTGAGCGACTGGCTCCACATCATTCTGCTTCCAGAAGAGATATGCAGCCAATGGCAGGCTTAGATGCCTACATCCTGAGTGCAGGGGTGTTTCGACTTACCCACTGGAGCCCGCAGGCCTTTTTTAGGCTGGAAAGGCTCTTTATGAGTGACAGTGTTGGGCCTGGCTTTGAATAATGCAGCCTCCTCACGCTTCTGCTCCTCTTTGGCCTACAAGAAGAACAAAAGAAAGAAAAAAAAGTTGTAGATCTTAAATTCAAGTAAAAGATGGCCATGATTGAGGATGAAAATGTGGAAGTAATGGTACCATCTGCTCTGTGCGACTGCTCTTCACGGCCCCCCGCTCGTCCAGCAGCAGCTTGAAGGGCTCGGGCTTGGTGGGCTCCAGCCTCTTCTTCTCGGGGAGGAGCACGGCGTCAAAGGCGGGCAGCGGCTGGGCCTTGAAGTGAGGCACCTGGGAAGGTTCAAGGAGACAGGAGGAAGAGGTTTAACTGTTGAGTCTTCATTCTGGGGGTCAGAGGACACAGGGTGTGGTAGCAGACCCCCACCTCTTCATTGCGCTTCTCCTCCAGCTTTTTCTCCTTCAGGGCCCTCCTCTCTCGGTCCCGCTCTTCGAAGGAGAACGGACACACCTCCACGTGGTGGTTCTCCTGCAGCTGGGGCAGGAAGGGGAGCCCAAAGTGAGGCACTGGGGGGGCCTTGATGGGCGAGGGCTGCTTTACCTGGCAGAAAGAGAAACGTTTGGTTACGTTGAAAGAGAAGTCTTGGTATAAACTTCCTGTTTGACCCGTTTCCAAAGGTTTTTATTTCTGGATAAAAGGTTTGTTCTATACTACATTTTAATAAAGAAAAAATAATTATGATCACTTTCACTTTGCATCTGCGGTCTTTTTGTTTGTAAAATAATTTAAAGGTCCCATGTCATGCTTCCTCTCCGCCGATTTCTCCTCCCTGAGACGGCGGGACAAGGCGAGGCTGGGAGTCTGTGTGTGTGTGTCCCATGACATGGGACCTTTAAGGTTTTGGCCTTTTTTAGCTCCGAAATGAGGTTTCTTTTTGTGTAAATTAGGTATATTAACCATACATTTCCAAAAAGAAGAGCAAAACTTGTGGTAACAAGTCAGAATAAAGCTGGCTTAAAAAGATGCAACACAGATTTGGCTGATTATTTATACTGTATACTATGTAGGACCAAAGTTGCACAGTTGATGGGAAGACAGATGTGTCCTCACCTCCTCCACCTTCTCCACACGGACCCTTTTCTTCAGGATGAAGGCTGGAGACTCTGGCACCGTCGGTTGCAGAACCTTCTTGTCTGGCAGACCCTGTCATCAAAGTGAAAGTGTTGGTGTGACATGCTCATGGAAACAATCTCAAAGCTAAAGCACTGGGACTCACCACGACTCCCTCCAGGATCTTTCTGGGCAGCGGCTGGGCTCTGAAGCTGGGATGCTTCTCCTCGGCCTCCTGGGGCCTCTTGGTCTGCCTCTCATGCAGCCTCTTGTCAATCTGCAGCTGGAAGCCTTCAGGCACTGTGGACTCCTTCACTGGGGGTCTCTTCAGGCACTCTGCGCTCTCCAGGATCTTCCGGTTCAGCTCCAAGGCGATGATTTTAAACCTGATTAAAGAGACAGTTGAATAACCCTGGACGTATTAACACCTGAGTCTTTGACAGGACTATGGGCAAGAGAAGAGGGCTCTTACTTCTGCTGTTTCTCCAGCTCTTCCTCCTCCAGCTCAGCGCTGCTCTTGGTGACGGTGGGGCGGTTCCTCCGGTGGGTCATCAAGTGAGGGGTGTGTGACTGGGTGAGTTTCAGCTTATCCCCCTTCAACCCCGAGGGTCCTGAAGAACACGGGATGTCAGTAAGTGGCCCTTCAACCCCCTCTGCATAGAACAAACACACCTTTACTTTTTTGGATAAAAGCGTCAGCTAAATGTAATGTTTACAACCAATCTGGCTCCAAACACACCTTTGTTTATACTCTTGCGACTGCGCAGATGGTAGCGATCGGGGGTTCGATTCTGGAACTGCTGGATCTGCTGCGCCATGGGCACATAGGCCTCCGGCCCCTCTGCGTCCGGCCCCTCTGCGTCCGGCCCCTCTGCGTCCGGCCCCTCTGCGTCCGGCCCCTCTGCGTCCGGCCCCTCTGCGTCCGGCCCCTCTGCCTCCTTCTTCTTGCCTGTGTACAGGTTGAAGGGTTTGGGCACGGTGCTGCATTTCAGAGCCTTTGTCTGGAGAAATAAAAGGGGAAGAAGGGCATTATTCATCTGGCGTGACCTTCGATACGTTTGGCCATGCAACAAAATCAGGATGCTTTTGCTTATTTTTAAACGGAATGAAGCCAGGTTTTTATAAATGTGTTTCTATCCAGCAATATTTCACTAAAGAAGCAGTTTGAGTGAAAGTACTGTAGTAGCACGCTTTATGAGCAGACATTTAACAAGTCAATAATTAACATCATTAATCACCAAATTCTATTGAACACCCTTTAGAGCAGGGGTCTCCAACCTTTTTTAGGATGAGAGCTACTTTCAAAAAATAAAATAAGTCCTGAGCTACTTTTACTCCTCTTTTTGTTCTTGCAGTGTATATATTTAGCACATTTTAACATTAGGCGCTTTCACACGGAGTACTTTTCCCAGTATAGTTCGGAAAATGTGCGTTACAAAAGAAATCCGGAACTAGAACTTAGTTCATGAGAACCTTTTCACCCCCTTCTCAGACCCTGCTAGAGAGCAGGCACTTTCATGGGAGGAAAAGGTTCCCATTTCTGATGAACCTCTGTGGGAAAAGTACTGCGGTGTGAAAGCGCCTATTGAGGGCTTGCGAGCTACCGGTAGCTTGCGATCAACGTGTTGGAGACCCCGCTTTAGAGAAACAATGGTTTACACGATAGAGCAGAATATACAAAGAATAGACACTGAAATGTATTTCTAAATGAACATTTTGTTGATTTGTGGGTGTCTACTATCTGATTGATGAACATAATCTAGGGTTACCCATTCATTTCCTATGGCGCTCATGTATGCCTGAGAACACTAAACCACTCAAAGTTCAGCAGCAATTGAATATGTTCAAATGAATACTGTGTAGGATATCATAAGGCCTTGAAGCAATCACATTTAAAACACAATATGTGTGATTGATGAAAGTAGTGAAACGGTCAGATTTGGCCCGGACACGACAGGAGGGTTAACTAAAGCAGCAGTTTGTACAGAGGGTCCCCAGACATTTAACCCATCTGAAGTCAACCATAAGCAGCCCCTAAAACTTTAAAAGGTTTCAGAACACAGGAAGTACTCACAGGGGAGCAGGGTTTGCGCAGCTGGCTGATAAAGTCCACTTCCTTCTGTGCGCCGCAGGATGAAGTGCTCGCCTTGTGACGAGAGTTTGTGTTGAAGTGGAACTCTTGGGGCACCGTCGCCGACAGGACCATCTTCTTTGGTGGTGGGTCTGAAATAAAAAAGAGTCCCAGACTTCCTTTTACAACTTTCAGATCCCAGGGCTCGACAGTAACGGTTGCCAGGTTGCCATTGGCAACCATTCAGAAAAAATGTCTACCACTTCTTGGCCTTTGGTTGCCATCAGTGGCAACCACTTTTTAACATGAAGAAATAAGCACAGCAAACAGCTAAATGTGCACCCCAAAATAGATAAATGTTCATTATTTGTTGTATTAAGAGTGATATTTAATTATTGTTGTGACCAGTAGGAACCTGATACTTAAGTGGCACGTGCATTGGTGTGATTACGGAGCCAGAAAGCGATGCACGTTTACTCTCGTGCGCCGTGTTTTACAAAAAATGGCGAAGCAAATTAAGTTGTTTGACTGTGGGGTAAAAAGTTCGGCCAACCCGTCAACATCTGAACGAATGTTCAAAGTGATTCAACTGATAAAGCGCAAGGTGAACCCGAACGAAAAGCAAAGAGGAAATGTGTAAAGTCTTGGCAGGCGAAATATATAAGTACATTCTGCTCCGTTGTGCATTCACTTCCGGTTAAAGTTCCTTCAAAATAAGAGTCCCGATCTTATTACGACCAAAATGCTAAACGAAACTTTACCATAGGAAAATATTGGCATACAATATAATCACTTCTATAAAAAGGTAAAACATTTTAAATATAGTTAGAAATATTAATAAATATGTTACAGCATTACTAATTAATATCTAATTCTTAACTGTGAATGGTTTTCATTTATTTAACATTAGAAATGTATTAGTCTGGCCAATCCATTGCTGAAGGGCCAATGGATCTATGGTGGGGGTCAGCAAAACCCAAATTTGAAAGGGAAACAACGGATGACGAAATTAGTGACTTGCTCAATTCAATTCATTTGTGGATCTGTGAAGAACAACAGCTGCACTACTGGTATTTTGTATACCAGCAATTAAGGGTGGACAAGTTTACTACCACTTAAGTTTCAAATAATTGTGTTAATTACTTATTGTAAAGCATTTGAACATTCTTTTGTGTCACATTTTCATTATTAAATTGATGTATAACTGTATAGTATCTTAATTATTTAAAAATAGGGCTGTCAAACGATTAACATTTTTAATCAGATTAATCACAGCTTAAAAATTAATTAATCATGATTAATCACCATTCGAACTATGTCCAAAATATGTCATTTCTTTATGTATATTGTTGTGGGAATGGAAAGATAAATGAAAGAAGGCGGATATATCCATTTAACATGTTTATTGTAAAAATGTTCTGTGTGGCAAAATGAAAGAGAGCACCTATCAATCATCAAACCGTGGGGTCTTAATTCATTACGTGTTGATTTCTATCAACGGGGGAGTACTTCAGGAAAGTCGACCACAGATGCGGCTTTCACACAAGCGGCAAACTCTGGGGAACAGCCGGGACGCCAATACGGAAGTGCCACACACATACATGGGCTGCTATGGACTGGCTGCAGAAAGGAGCAATTTCCATAGACCCCCGTGTTAAAATGGCCAACTTTACAGCAGAAAAAAAACATGTTTCTACCCCTGGCTCCATACATTTTATTATCGATATAGTTAGATTCCACCTTCATGATTATGGATCTGTGAGTGAATTGTTTTCTAACATGACCCTTTTATTTATATTAGGTCTTAAAGTTTTTGCATAAATTAGGGCGTGGTCACTTTGATGGACATGTACATGCCTCACTGTCAGCTAACAGCAACTTGTCCACTCTGCTAGGCTACAACCATAGAGGCTACAACGTTAGTTAGTCATAGTACTGTACTTGACCCTTTAGCTTTAGCCGTCTTCGTGGTGATTGTGCCTTTTAGGGAATATTGTTACAAATACCAGACAATTAAAATGTCGTGCTGTGCGCTTGAATGTACTAACAGAACTTCCAAGAAGTCTAAAATGATAATATTATACATGTTAACCCCGTTCGCAGGTGTTTGTGTGCTTGGTAGCTTAGCTTGTTACTTATTAGCCAGCTAAGGACGTAACCCTTTATGCATACATATCCGGGCGGTGGAGTCCGTCGTTATAACTGGAGATCAAGGAATGCAGCGAAACCAGAGCGAAACGCAGACTTGGTTCGCCTGCTGTAGTATTAGCTAAATAAATGTTGAACAAGGCTTATTAAGCTGAACATCGCCACAATTGTTCTGCTATGTATCGGTACTTCTTTTCTTAACGTATGAATGACGAGCATTAAGAATAACAAAATATAGCTAATTCTCTTGCAGATGAATGTAACGTTTATATAGGGGAACTAAACTGTTAGCAGTAACTTGGTATGCATGTATTTCATGTTCGCTTAGCTTCTTAGCCTGAGCTAGCTCTGTTTACTTCCAGTTCTGAGGCAGCAGGTCCCGCCTGCTCCAAATAAGGGCAAAGAGGCGGAGCCGAGGCGGGACCTGCTGCCTCAGAGAGGATTAGACTCTGACGTTGCTGTCAAGCCGTTAGTGGCCGACTCCGCCTACTAAGGGCTTCACGGCAACTCTGCAGAATCCTATGGGTGACGTCACGGACACATTTAAATGGTACCAAACAGTTAGCAAGTACATTAGCATTTGTTAAGTCTGGTAAATTCACTCACTGCCAGCCAGAGCCGCTTTGTAGCTGGCCTCGTTCTGCTTCCGATGCAGAGCCACTTCATTCTGCAGGGTCCTGATGCGCTCCATCTCTTGGTCTTCAGAGCTAGATGGCCTGTTTGGAACACGTCAGTCATTAGCAAAAACTTAGCTTTAACCTGCTTTCCATCTCAGCCTCATGTAAAGTGGAACTTTCCCATTCAAAGCGCTACACACTTTGGCTTACCGACATGGAATATAACAATGTGTAGGAACTAGGGATGCACGATATTGGTTTTTTGAAACCGATACCGATAACTTCCTGCTTCTCAAGACCGATACCGATAATAATATAATATATATATATATATATATATTAAATTTACCTGTAGTTTTTGCACACCTGGTGGTAAAAAAAAGACTAGTAGTGAGCAAATGACATGAGCATTGCTACTATGAACAAAACAAAGCCAAGAACCGTTTTGACTCTTCAAAGTGACCATATTTATTTTCCCAAATAAAGTTCTTGCCTTTTTCAAAAGCCTCGTCGATAGGTAAAAGCCCCGGTGCCTTTGCAGCTGGCTTTGGATTCGCCGCTAGTTTAGCAGAGCAGGCGTCTTCGTACGCTTTTAACACACCATCGTAGCGATGGCGATGTTTCAGGTGACTAATCAGGTTGGAAGTATTATAGCTCGTTGCCTTTTTCCCTCCTCGTGGAACTTCTGCATTGCATTTGTTAATACAAATAGCAAGTGAACTATCTAACTCTGAAACTTTGAAATAGTCCCATACTACCGGCGACATGTTTGTTTACTGTCCTGGCTTCACGGCCGCACACCACTTACGTCACAGCCAGGCATGAGTTAGGGAGCGCTGGATTTGTGAAAAACTCCCCTCTTCCTAAACCACTAATACCACAGTACTGGCAAAACGGGAGGAGCCGAGTGAAAAACAAGCGCCCCTCATCCCAATCCACCCACACCGCAGTATTTTTTTCTTTTTTTTACCCAAAAAATATATTGTATATTATCGGGGCTATTAATACTGGTATCGGGTTTATCGGGATGACATCATAATTCCTAATATCGGGCCGATAATTATCGGGCCGATAATTATCGTGCACCACTAGTGGGAACGTTACCTTTGATGACAATTTGGCGAGAAGCCGGAGGCTATAACTCATCTTTGAATAATGCAATCACAAGACAGAAACAGCGGAAGGAGGCTTTCCCCGATAGAAGACCTACTCTGTGTTTGAAGTGTTTGAAGTAGCTGAAGCTGCTGCCTGGCTCTTAGGCGCCGTCCTGCTGTTCTGCGGGCATTTACTGCGGCGGAGCACACTGCTGGACTTTCGGGGTTCAGGAGTTCTACAACAAAGAATTGAAGAAGAAAACGTGAAGGAGAAAAGTTTAACAAGGGAACGAAGTTGACTGGGTCTCTAATGGGGAACATTGTGTCTGTTAATACTGGAACATCAGTCAGCTGTGGGGTAAAGGGATAGAAATAAAAAAGGTCAGATGTCACTTACTTTTTGTGCTTCTTTAAGGGTGGAGCGGGACCACTGGACGCCTCTTTACGCTTTAAAACCCTAAAATGAATAAATCAATTAGAAATGTATTCAATCACACAATTAATCTCAAGTAAAAGGTAAGTGTCTAGAAAACAAAAAATACTACATTTCCCACAATGCAACTCAATAGAAACTTTTTTTTACAGAACCCTGCATATAGTCCTAATATTTCCAGCTGCACTCCTAAGGTTCCCGCGAAAGCTTCAAACTAAGATGCCACAGACATCATGCAGGTTGAAACATTCAAATAAATCGAATCATGTTCATACGAGTTTCAACAGTAATGAGAATAATGCCGCAAAACCTTTCCAATTTGTTTCCCCGCCCAAATCATGCAGCCCCAGAACAAACGATACAACACACACCCCTGCTGTATGGGTAGGGTTATATTAATCAGTACTAGGGCTGCAACAAACGACTAATTTGATAATCGATTAATCGACTATTCGGACTATTATGCTTTGCACAATTTCTCAAGCGCTCTTATTTATCAACTTTTAGATTTAGCTTGAGGTTGTTCTAGGCATGTGGAAACTAACAATGAAGACAATAAAGATGAATACTTGATTCAAAAATACATATATTATTAAATTAACTAAACACATTTTGAACAAAACTAACATTGCTTTTTATTTAAATTAAATAAATAATATTTCACATCAAAAGAAACAACAGTGTTTTAACAAATCGTATTAAATAATCTGATGACAGAACTGTAAACAGAATAGCTGAACATTTAACAAACTAAATAACTCAGTTTCCTCTAATCATTAACCCATGTTTGTATCATTGAGTTAACTCTGTGTGTTGCTGCTAGCATACATAACACCTGACGTGGAAACGTTACTCGTGGATGGGGCTACAGAGCTACTAGAAAGACAGTGGAACCCGGTGCATTCCTCCGTCTGGATGTGGTGCACTTTTGCTAAATGTTTAGACAAATTGCTTGTGTTACCGCCCTTACATGCTAAACTCTTGCACTTTTGGTAACGAGCATTGTCCACATCGAGACGGGTAAAGTGTAACCACACCTCGGAGCGCGTTCTGTGGCATGTAGCAGCTGCGTGTGTGTAAACTGCCCCGCCCCCTCGCACACAGACGGGGGAGAGATCTCGTCTGATCGAAAATACATCATAGACGCATTTGTCTTTTTGCATATTAGAAACGAGTTGGTGACACTAAGACTGCGATATAATGTTTTTGTAGCAATAATACATGACATATATTTTTAAATGTCTCCAGTACCGATAAAAAGACCAATAACGTTGGAGCTTAACGGCGCGTAAAACACACGTGATGACGTCACCAACGAATCGACGACTGAATTAGTTGGCAACTAATTTGGTAATCGATTAGTTGTTGCACCCCTAATCAGTACCACATGTTATTTGCTTTAAATTAATGAAATACTGGGTTGCAGCCTTATTGTAGCAAAAATAGTGACCATAACCGTGACTTTACCTGCGAGGTGCTGGGGGATTAGAGGTCTTCTTTGAGCGCGCACCAGTGCGAGCTGGAGACCCAGCTCCCCAGGAGGAGACCAGGTTAGCAGGTGGAGTTGGAGATGGGGGTGGGGGTGGGGGTGGGGGTGGAATAGGAGCTGAAATATTAAAAAAGGAGAACTTATGGAAGTGTTCACTGGATAACATAAATCTACAGGCTATTTACACACAAGTTTGAAAGGGTATCCTATTATGGCTTTTGGAGTTTTCCCTTTCTGAACATTAAAGCATGTCACAGTAGAGACACTAAATACAAAAATAACCCTGAAAATGAGCAGAATATGTTCTCCTTATTTATCGGCTCGTTGATTGCTATGACTGAGCAGCCATTGGAAGCCATTGTAACTGTTGTGAATGCAAATTGACAAATAAAAACGAACCTGGGATGTCGTCGACCTTGATCTGCGGGGCTACGATGGCTCGACGCAGGTCCAGGTCATGGATGTTCCTGAAGGATTTGTCAGTCCTCAGAGGAGTAACAAGGCGGCCATCACTGGTCTGTTGTTCTGCACAAAAGAGACGGTCAAAGATCAAGAGGGGGTCTCCTTTTACAGATACTTGATGGTTAATTTAAACATAGAACAGTTAACCCAATCTGTACTGTAGTATGGGCAGGGTCATCATTTTTGTATCATTTGGGCTTATTTAAATGTTAAAACTCATCACAAATACCTCTAATTGCTAGTCATTTCCTACTTGTAATAGGGCTTTCAGACAGACATGGTGAAGTGGATCAAACCTCACAGTGGTGTGTAACTGAACTTGCACTCAGGGAGAAGTTGTGGTGATGTGCTGTTATGTCTGAAATGATTATCTAACCAGAGAGAGAACCTGCTTTTCACTTCGGCCACATGTTTAAGGAAAATATCTGTGGTGTCATCAACCTCCCTCACGTTGTGTGGTGGCAAAAGAAAGAACCGGCTAATTTACTGATGTCCTAAAGAGGCAATCACCTACTCAAATGTTATGGAGGAATTACAGATATTGCAAATACATCCCGTGCATATTGCTGTTAGACCACATTGTAGGGTGTATATATATAGGCTATATATATATATATTTAAAAAAAGAGATATTAATTGGTTTTGCACTGATTTTTCAACTCTTTTTTTTACAACAACATTGCCCTTACTGTGTTTTGTATGCACGATAACCAACCAAAGCTAATTCCTTGCAAGTGTAAACCTACTTGGCAATAAACCTGATTCTGATTACTACAGTTCACAGTTGGATCAATAGCAGACAGATGCAGAGATATTAAACTTACCAAACCACGTGTCCTCGCCCTCAGCCTTCTGCTCTGCTAACATTAGCATGTCCACTACGTGCGATGGGGCATCAAACTCGTAGCGATCACCGGAGTCGCTGTCCGCCATAGTGTCAATGTGTTATTCGACAACTCCCCTAAAGAAGAAAACAGTTAACATGAACACTCTTTGATAAAAGTGTCCCAATGTACAAGAGTCTCTAACTCTAACCAATGTCGATTAGCTTGTTTTGAACTAGCGGATAGCTTAACGTTACAATGTATGGCGTAGCTTGTATTTTTAATGGAACAAACAGAAACACCACTTGGAAAGCAAAGTCAGTTATCCACATGAACCAAATCAACTTTGAAAAGGAGTGGCACAAATTCCTGCTGGAGTACATCGCACCGATCACAGAGAAGATGTATCCTGGGTACTACACCAAGGTACGGCTGACACAGCATCATGTCCCCCGTGGAAGGACGATTCAGATCCTTTACTTTAAAGTACTATTACTGCATTCCAAACATCTATACATTCACCCATTGATTTTGGTACTTCATTATAATGTATAGTGTTATCCACATCAGAACTTCATATTTAAAACAATCTTAAAAAGAAAAACTAGAGATGAAAAATAAAGTAAAATCTGAATATTTTCCTTTGAATTGTAGAGGAGTAGAAGTATTTAGTGGTACAGAAAGAAAAACCTAAAGTATAAGTAGTTAAAATGTCTATGGTAATAAGTAGATTACTTACAGTACAGTCTTATTTAAGTGTTGATTAGAAATATAATCATTAATCCAAATCTGCAAAGTCACTAAAGGTATTAACAAATGTAGTGGTTAAATACTCAAGTAAAGAACAAGTCCTTCCAAATAGTACTTAAGTAGAGTCAATCAATGAAATTGTATTTATATAGCTCATTATCACAAAGGTCTTTATAGTGTGTACCCCTTCTGTCTTGAAGCTGCCTTCACATGACGCACGGTAAAACGGCCCTGCACTGTGTTGTGTTCCAGAGTAGGCTGACCAATCAGACGACAGCTGAGCAGGCTAGCAGGGGACGTTACCATAGAAAGATCTCTAGATGTGAGGGAAATAATTTGTTCCCTGTCTATTCTTATATTTCATAAAGTCATTATGAAAGTCAAATTCAATTGAAATAGATCTCAAATGCTGGAACAGAGCAACTTCATCCTCAAAGGTTGAAGAGGTTCTGCACCCCGCACACAGCTAACAGAAAGAAAGCAGCCAACCCATCCTTCCCATTCATTATCTTAAAGAACCACGATTTTATGGGGCCGGAAAAAGAGGGAAAAAGTACCCGCTAGCCGGTACTAGGCTATATGGAAAGGACACCAAAAACTGGCCTGGCCGCTTGAGGATGGTTAAGGACGCTTAAACGGGGCTACCCGCTGCAGTGGAAATGCGTCATTAGACATGATCTCAACCTTTCCACCCTAACCCCCCACTCCTTAACCATTTGCAAATCCACCTTTTACCCTTCTGGAATGTCTATGTCTCTGTGCCACATATACAAGACGAAAACATACAATTCAGCCAATCAGAGCACAAGACTTCATATATGTACATGATTCTAAGTGCTTATAAGATCATTTGACCGAGTTATCATGTCACTACATATCATATCATGTCACTCTGTGTATCACGTGAATGCAGCTTTAGACCCCTGCAAGAAGAAACTCTCAAAGAAACCCCCCAACAGTAATTGAGTAAATATACCTGTAACTCTACCCCATGGATGAAGTGAATAGTGTGTATGCTGCTGCTGCTGCTGCCTAACGTGTCCTCTCCCCTCAGTGCGCCACCCCTCTGAACTTCGTGGTGAGGTACAAACCTGACGAGCAGCCGCTGCTTGCGCCTCACCACGACGCCTCCACGTTCACTGTTAACATAGCTCTGAACAGCAAGGAAGTAGACTACCAGGTAAATGTGGAGCAGCTGGAGGATGTGAGGATGGGGGCGGGTCTTCTCTCTCTCTCTGCTTCTTCTCTGCTCCCTGTCTGTCAGTCTGTTGTTGTTGTTGTTGCATGAAGCCCCCTGGGGCCTTGTTTTTATTGTTGCATCCCTGGTGTTCAGTGGCGACTGGTCATTAGGGGCAGGTGGGGCACAGCCCCACCTAGTGTCAGCAGAAAGTATTAAAAATAATGATTGCCAAAAAAAAAAATTAAATATATTTTAAGATCATGTTTAATAATCTGATTCGTCTGTACATTGCTGTTTTAGTCTGTGTTCTTCTAATTAGTGTCTACAGTGTGTGCCTATTGAGCTGTTTAGAGCCATGTGGGACAAAACCCGATCCTGCCCCTCTCTCTCACTGTCTAAGTGAATGGTGACTGTAAAAACTACACTGCACATGCTCAGAGTATTGTCCTATTTCATGTGTGTGGCAAAAAAATGAGAACCGCAGTGACGCGTCGTAAAACCCGGAAGTAAACTTCTTCCGGTTCCTTCGTGAAAAACCAATGCAAATTCTCCATAGGATTTTGGAAAATAGCTCGAAATAAGGTCTGTGGTTGACACACATTTAAGAGAGGGATCACGTTTTGTTTAGCCGGATAATCTCCACATGTCTACCCTACTTTTATAATTTTTGAATCATATATCTAGTCGCCAAAAGCGAAATGCTAACGTTATGCTATAAACTAACTACAAGCCAGTACAGCAGCAGGGTCGCACGACTTCAACGTCACGCCAACTTAAGATCGTTTCAACTGACTTGCACTGAAACTGCACTTTGAACACTTTAAATATATTAACATTTTAAACTGTATACCCTGGTTATCTAGGCCATTTTTGTTTTGTTTTATTATTTATTATTTGTATACATGTCACACTGTGGGAAACGATATTTCGATATTTCTGGATGTATAACACATGTAGAATTTTTGACAATAAAGCTGACTTTGACTTTCGCGTGCTTGCATATTTTAACAAAGCTTTTCATTTCAGCCACACTGAATTTAACTAGAAGTCATGGCTGTCAATGACCAGTCTGATATCGTTTTACAAAGATGACAAGAAGAGTGTAGATAGAGGAGAGAACCACTACAAGTCAGGACACGTAAAACAGTGCAGTCTAGATGAAGGTGTGCTTACCGGTGTTGTCAGGGCTAGCATGAGGGACAAGGTTTATAGTGTCGGTGAGTAGTGATAGCAAGAGTACCGTTAACCTAGAGTTAATTTATTCACATTAATTCCCATCAACAAATCCATTTTATGTGTCACATGAAATCTTTATTAGGCAAGGCAAGGCAAGTTTATTTATATAGCACTTTTCAACACAAGGCAATTCAAAGTGCTTTACAAAAAATGAAAGACATTAAGAAAATGGCATTTAAAATCAGTCATTAAAAAGAAAAGCTAATAAAATAAACATTAAAAGAAAAAATACATGGATAAAAGTTACAGTGCAGTCTAAGATGTGAATAGTTCAATTAAAAGCAGCGGCAAAAAGAAAAGTCTTCAGCCTGGATTTAAAAGTAGTAAGAGTTGTAGCGGACCTGCAGGTTTGTCTAGCTACTTTTATAATTTTCAAATCATAAATCTACAAGAAGATAAGGAGGACTTTTACAAAAAAGTAAGAGATTTTTGTCCAGAAGGATAGGCAAATGGACTTCATCTTCAAGTCAAGGTAAGACCACAATTTTATTGAAAATGGGATCTTACTAAGAGAGAACAGTTCAATATTTAAATGATACAATTACATTTTTTGGGTATCCTTTATCCTAAAATTAATCGAAGAATCAGACAAAAAAAGCTTTTGAAAATAATATTATATTTTGATTTGTAAACCTGAAGAGTCAGTGCCAGTACCAGCCATGAACCTCACTGCACCTCACTGCAGAAGCTTATATATAGACATCTACGTTTTTTGTGCCCCACCACTTTTGTACATATAAAAACGCCACTGCTGGTGTTTCTTTAACCTGGACTAAACCCTCAGACATTATCTCATGTTATTATCAGGGGGATTCATATTTAGACAAATCAAATGCTAAATCATTATGAGTGAAACTGATGATATATACGTGGGCTTTGTGAGGATTGAACCTAACATTTCTTATATTGACATTTCTTACAATTTGATGTTTTGTAGAAGAAGTCAAATTGCACATACATATAAAGCTGGTATTTATGGAAGAAGATTAGGGCTCAAATTGAATTGGATTGGAATGAGCCAAAAGTGATTTTTTTTGTAGTTCTGAGATTAAAGTCAGAATTATGAAAAAAGAAAATCTAACTTGTTCTGCTCATTTTTCTCAGATTTCTGACTTGAATCTCCGAATTTAATAAAAGAATGAACTTTGTGTCAGAATGAAAAAAGCGTTTGGCCCTAACCATTTTCTGTACGTATTGCAGGCACATTCCATTCAGTATGATGTGATTGTTTGTTTAGTTATTGTACACTAAATAAGTGACATTTAGTTGCACTTGCACTTTGGTAAGTGTACTTGCACGTGAAAGGCTGAAGCTGTTAAATCGGTACAAAATGAACTCTAATAAGGGGAGGGATTTCAATATTCCCCCGGTGTGTGTGTGTGTGTGTGTGTGTGTGAGGAGCAGAGGCTGATGTGTGTGTTGTGCTGCAGGGTGGAGGCTGCCGGTTCCTCCGCTACGACTGCTCCATCGAGGCCACTCGTAAAGGCTGGACCCTGATGCACCCGGGCCGCCTCACGCACTACCACGAAGGCCTGCCCACCACTGGGGGGGTGCGCTACATCGCTGTGTCCTTTGTAGACCCTTGAACACATCACCGGCTCCAAAGCCAACAGGCCACTCTGCTGACCGCATCCGAACGCATCACGGCTCTCCACACCTTCGCTCTTCTCTTTCGCTTGTTCTCATGTTAAAAATAATGTTGTTTCTCTGTTACTCTCATACAACGTCTGACCTATTAGCCACAGCACCAGTGCTCTGTGACGAAAACACAGCTGCATAATGAACCCGAACATGTTAGCGCCACATCAGAGGAGAACTGGCTCCACAGTAACACTTCCCCAAAGCTTCTCATATGTCATATTAGCAGGAGTGATGTCACAGCAGCAGAACCTGCGCGGGGTCAGCGAGGCATCGGGGGGCCGGCTCCCCAGGTGGAAGCTTTACAAATAGACATTTATGGTCATTTCAAGTGATTACATTTGTATGTCTCCCACAATTGTGTCATCGTTTCACACTCCACCTGCCTTGGGAAAGTGCCTTGTTATGGTGTTTTGGGTCCTTGGATTTAAGGGAATTGGAGCCTGGAAATTCCTGGAATGAGATTTTCTATAAGGTGAAAAATGTGAAAGAAAGGATGATAAAACATTGTCCTCTTGTGAGTTAGAAAACAGTGATCTTACAGCGTTGTGTAGCCTGCTGTAGGGTACATGATCCAGGATAGTCACAGAGTTTAGTATCATCATTCACCTGAAAATGAGATTAAGGACAGAGGGTGTCGTTTTCCTCATACTGATATTCTGAACAATCTGTGCTGTTGTATTTGCTGTAAAGTGTCTCTACTGTAGGCTATTTTTATTATATGTACAGCACTTTGGCTCGACCAAAAATCGTTTATAAATGTGCTATATAAATAAAACTTGATTTGATGATTACATTACAAAGACAGCTAAGAATTAACAATGTTCCGCCAGATGTTATCAGGAAGTAGCTCCTATGCTAACATGCAGCGGGAACACCTGATCAGAAACGTCTCACACTCCAACCTCATCTCACCAGCTTTATTCTCCTAAGTAGACGTGTTACTTTAGTCCCAGTTCTGAACTCATGTGTGTGTAGAACAATGTTGACATTTTCAGTCAGAAGCTACGTTGTAGTGTTCAGACCCCGTCACATGGACTCCTCAGGAAACCACCAGCTCCAATTTTTTACCAAAGCTTGTGGAAAATATTGTTACATTTACACTAGCTGTCCCATTCTGTGTTGCTAAAGTACATCTTTACTAACTTTTTCAACAGACACTTCCAAATCCTGCTAAGGCTCTCTTATTTATTGTGTGTATATATCATTTGATAAAGGCCACACTCCCTAAATAGTTTTGCAATATAACTGCATTTTGGGAGAGATACTGAAGTCCTTCTCTGGCGCACTCACTGATATCAGCTGAGTTAAAGTTTTACATCTAACGTTGTCATTTCTTGTTACCAGCCATCACTGAGCTAAGACTACAACTTGAATAAATCTGTGAACCAAACGGTGTGTGAACTGTGATTGAACTTCTGTCCCTCGCTGTGCCAGAAGCTGGAGGACAGAACTGACAGCAGAGAAACAGATGAAGCAAATCTAGCAGTTCAGTTTGAAAATATAGCATAGGCACCCCCATCATGTTCAGCTAACATGAGCCTGTCTTAAAGTCAGGAGTATTTTGTCAGATGGAGTGAATTGTCAGCCGTGGAGAACACTTTTAATTGACTCCTAGATACAACTTACATTTTGTGAGCTGCATCTCTATTTGAAGCATCATAAAATTAGCATTTGTTATTATTGTTATGTTAGTCTCCACCAAATCCTGAGCAAAATAAGTGTCGTTATCTGTAACAGCATTAAGACATTACATTCTAAAAGTGCTTTCATCTGACTCCAAACTATTGTTAAATGTGGCATGGCTGTCATATCACTGAAAAGGTGCTCAAGCCTATGGATTCTGCAACACCATCTTTGACAGAACTTTAAAATCTGTTGATGTCCTTTGTAGTTTCCTTTTAATGTTAAGTTGAAATTCAGTCATATTATACCTTCATGCCAGTTTATATACTAATTAAAAAGTCTGGTGCACAAAACTCAAAAGAATGAAAATAACCAGAAAAAGTCAAACTCCAAACAGAATGCCTTTTCTGTATCCTTGCATATTCTCCTGGCTGAATCACCACGAACAAACTGAACGTTTTATCAAATAAACTCAATAAACATTTTAACCATTGCAAAGTCTGGGTTTCCAAGTGAAACACTGAAGATGTTGAAAAGTAGCCAGTGGTTATTTGGAATTCTTACACTTTATTGATTAAAAGCAGTATATAAAAGAAGCAAAAGGATAGAATATGCTGCTTGGAATGATAGTGTGGGCAAGACATGAAAGCACTGATAGAAAAGTGTTAATGTACAGCAGGTGGCTAAAGCTAAACAGATAACAAGACAGTAAAGGCAGCTCCTGGCATCTCAAACACATCCAGCGTGCCACACTAATGGGAAACGTTCAACAATGTCTGAAGTGGTTAAATAAAGAGTGAGTCCTGATCACAGGCGGAAGCGGTCAGAGAAGTTTGGGGAGTGGGGGATGGTGAGGGGGACATCACTCTTCTTCACGGCCACAGGTTTGTAGTGTCTGATGGGCTGAGCAGCGTGAACCTGCAGGAAGAGAACACCAGGTATGAGTCCCACATGGGAATCAGGAAAATATTTCTAAAGTATCAGGAAAAAAACTGTTGATATAGCAGGTCAAAAAAACAAAGCAAAAAACAACGTAGTATGTTGTACATATTGTGGAAAAGACAAGTTGGAGATGTGCAAAAAAAGAGTGAATTATGTTGAAAATATCAGAACAAACAAATAGTATAATCATTTTGCAGGGACCTGGTCATTCCGCATCTTGGTGACGTCGTCCTTCTCCCTCTGCTCCACCTCTTGTCTCTGCTGCTCCTCCATCAGCATCCTGAGAGCCTCCTTGTCATTGGCCAGACGCTCAAACTCCTGGCGCTCGTGGGCCCGCCTCTCGGTCGACAGCGCAAAGGCCTCCACGACTGGAAGAAGAATCATGAGTGACATGATGAGAACCGCTTCATACTTCAGAGCACTCCCAAGGAGGGTTATATGTGACCTGCTTTATCAAAATCAGTCACACCTACCCCCCAAACAACATTTGGACTCGTAGACACCGTTGTAAAGAGGAGATTCTTAGCTTTTCAATATTGGTTTTGTTCTCCATATTCGTCATCACATGTCACAATGACGGCTACTAAAACACAATTATGAAATAAAAAGACCTTCAAAGTATCCAGATTGTTTTTGAAGGCAATGTTATTATTAGAAGGGGTACCAGGCCATATATTATGGGGGTACCTTTTTTACAGGTCTATCTGATGATAGTCTGATATGACAACTCGAGTATATATTGATTATACCCGATACAACATTACATTGGTGAATACTGGGGTTCAAAACTGCTAATATAGAACAAACAGGTGGTCATTGGAAGTATGGTGAATAATAAATAATATGCCAATCTACAGCGCAGCTAATGTTCTGGAGCGTTCCGGTTATATAATGTGTAGTCGCATTCTACGCAGAGCCTTGCGGTGAAATCAGTGCAGTTTTATTCTAGCTTGCGCCCCTACATGCAGCCATCCGACAATCTTGAGCCTTGCCTGGCAGCACCGCTCTCTGTTTAGGAACACAACGGCAACACCAGCGCAAGAGACCTTTTATTGAGCATCATGTGAGTGCAGAACCCGTTTAGATTCAGTTCAGTGTCACATTTCGTGAGCGACTGGCTCCACATCATTCTGCTTCCAGAAGAGATATGCAGCCAATGGCAGGCTTAGATGCCTACATCCTGAGTGCAGGGGTGTTTCGACTTACCCACTGGAGCCCGCAGGCCTTTTTTAGGCTGGAAAGGCTCTTTATGAGTGACAGTGTTGGGCCTGGCTTTGAATACTGCAGCCTCCTCACGCTTCTGCTCCTCTTTGGCCTACAAGAAGAACAAAAGAAAGAAAAAAAAGTTGTAGATCTTAAATTCAAGTAAAAGATGGCCATGATTGAGGATGAAAATGTGGAAGTAATGGTACCATCTGCTCTGTGCGACTGCTCTTCACGGCCCCCCGCTCGTCCAGCAGCAGCTTGAAGGGCTCGGGCTTGGTGGGCTCCAGCCTCTTCTTCTCGGGGAGGAGCACGGCGTCAAAGGCGGGCAGCGGCTGGGCCTTGAAGTGAGGCACCTGGGAAGGTTCAAGGAGACAGGAGGAAGAGGTTTAACTGTTGAGTCTTCATTCTGGGGGTCAGAGGACACAGGGTGTGGTAGCAGACCCCCACCTCTTCATTGCGCTTCTCCTCCAGCTTTTTCTCCTTCAGGGCCCTCCTCTCTCGGTCCCGCTCTTCGAAGGAGAACGGACACACCTCCACGTGGTGGTTCTCCTGCAGCTGGGGCAGGAAGGGGAGCCCAAAGTGAGGCACTGGGGGGGCCTTGATGGGCGAGGGCTGCTTTACCTGGCAGAAAGAGAAACGTTTGGTTACGTTGAAAGAGAAGTCTTGGTATAAACTTCCTGTTTGACCCGTTTCCAAAGGTTTTTATTTCTGGATAAAAGGTTTGTTCTATACTACATTTTAATAAAGAAAAAATAATTATGATCACTTTCACTTTGCATCTGCGGTCTTTTTGTTTGTAAAATAATTTAAAGGTCCCATGTCATGCTTCCTCTCCGCCGATTTCTCCTCCCTGAGACGGCGGGACAAGGCGAGGCTGGGAGTCTGTGTGTGTGTGTCCCATGACATGGGACCTTTAAGGTTTTGGCCTTTTTTAGCTCCGAAATGAGGTTTCTTTTTGTGTAAATTAGGTATATTAACCATACATTTCCAAAAAGAAGAGCAAAACTTGTGGTAACAAGTCAGAATAAAGCTGGCTTAAAAAGATGCAACACAGATTTGGCTGATTATTTATACTGTATACTATGTAGGACCAAAGTTGCACAGTTGATGGGAAGACAGATGTGTCCTCACCTCCTCCACCTTCTCCACACGGACCCTTTTCTTCAGGATGAAGGCTGGAGACTCTGGCACCGTCGGTTGCAGAACCTTCTTGTCTGGCAGACCCTGTCATCAAAGTGAAAGTGTTGGTGTGACATGCTCATGGAAACAATCTCAAAGCTAAAGCACTGGGACTCACCACGACTCCCTCCAGGATCTTTCTGGGCAGCGGCTGGGCTCTGAAGCTGGGATGCTTCTCCTCGGCCTCCTGGGGCCTCTTGGTCTGCCTCTCATGCAGCCTCTTGTCAATCTGCAGCTGGAAGCCTTCAGGCACTGTGGACTCCTTCACTGGGGGTCTCTTCAGGCACTCTGCGCTCTCCAGGATCTTCCGGTTCAGCTCCAAGGCGATGATTTTAAACCTGATTAAAGAGACAGTTGAATAACCCTGGACGTATTAACACCTGAGTCTTTGACAGGACTATGGGCAAGAGAAGAGGGCTCTTACTTCTGCTGTTTCTCCAGCTCTTCCTCCTCCAGCTCAGCGCTGCTCTTGGTGACGGTGGGGCGGTTCCTCCGGTGGGTCATCAAGTGAGGGGTGTGTGACTGGGTGAGTTTCAGCTTATCCCCCTTCACCCCCGAGGGTCCTGAAGAACACGGGATGTCAGTAAGTGGCCCTTCAACCCCCTCTGCATAGAACACACACCTTTATTTTTTTGGATAAAAGCGTCAGCTAAATGTAATGTTTACAACCAATCTGGCTCCAAACACACCTTTGTTTATACTCTTGCGACTGCGCAGATGGTAGCGATCGGGGGTTCGATTCTGGAACTGCTGGATCTGCTGCGCCATGGGCACATAGGCCTCCGGCCCCTCTGCGTCCGGCCCCTCTGCGTCCTTCTTCTTGCCTGTGTACAGGTTGAAGGGTTTGGGCACGGTGCTGCATTTCAGAGCCTTTGTCTGGAGAAATAAAAGGGGAAGAAGGGCATTATTCATCTGGCGTGACCTTCGATACGTTTGGCCATGCAACAAAATCAGGATGCTTTTGCTTATTTTTAAACGGAATGAAGCCAGGTTTTTATAAATGTGTTTCTATCCAGCAATATTTCACTAAAGAAGCAGTTTGAGTGAAAGTACTGTAGTAGCACGCTTTATGAGCAGACATTTAACCTCTTAAGCCCCACGGACCCGAGCTCGGGTCCGAAAATGCTATATATGTAGCAACAGTGCTATATCTGAAGTGTCATTCATGAAACTATTAATATTTCATACCCATCTGACCGGAGGAAACTTGGCTTACTGACTATACGAAAACAATTTTTTTTTTCGAAAAAGAAGTCTCACAAGAAGCCTCTAAATGAGCCCATGTCAAAAACGGGCAATTGCTATGTCTGCTCATAACTCACAAAAACGATCATTTATAATTCATCCTTTCCGCACAAACAACACATTTTCTGAAAGCTGAGATTCCACAGATTCCATGGGTGTACACCCCATCACTACAGGCACAACATTAACCGAGCT